GAAGTGTATGACAAGGAGATGCTCGCAATAGTGTGTGCCCTCGAGGAATGGCGGCATTTTCTGCAAGGAGCAGAGGAGAAGGTTGATGTCTACACCAACCACCGCAATCTAGGGCACTTCTGCACTGCGCAGTGCCTGAACCGGTGCCAAGCATGGTGGTCGCTCTTCCTCTCTCAGTTCCACTTTACCCTCATCCACTGCCCAGGAAAGCTCATGGGGAAACCGGATGCACTCTCACGCTGCACTGACCACCCGAGAGGTAAGGACGACAATGAGGGGCTTACACTCCTCCAACCAACTTGGTTTGAAACCCGCGCGACAGAGGCAATCTCTGTAGAAGGAGAAGAGATGACTATCCTCGAGAGGATCCATGGGGCAAAGGACCTGGATGAGAGCATGGTGAAGGCAATGCAAGAACTCGGAGAGGGGACAGTTAGGTCAGATGAATGGGAGAAACAGGGGGAGCTAGTCCTATACAGAGGCAGAATATATGTCCCCAAGGACCCGCAGCTCTGCCATGACCTGGTGCTACACCACGATGCATGGGTGATGGGGCACCCAGGGCGATGGAAGACCCTGGAACTCGTCTCCCATGACTACTGGTGGCCCCAGATGGCGGAGAATGTAGGACGGTATGTGTGCAGGTGCGACACCTGCAACCGCATCAAGTCCTTCCCCTCCCACAAGGTTGGAAAGCTCATCCTGAACAAAGTCCCCACATGCCGCTGGCAAGTGATCTCTGTCGACATGGTAGGGGAGCTTCCTGAGTTGAAGGGATACAACGCCATTCTCGTCGTAGTAGACTGCCTATCCAAGCACATCCATGCGGTCCCCACGATGACGACAGTGGATTCAGCAGGAATCGTGTGGCTCTTCTTCAAACACATCTGGAAACACCATGGCCTACCCGAAGAGATCCTCAGCGATAGAGGAAGCGCCTTCATCTCCCGCTTCTCAAAGGAACTTGCAGACCTCCTCGGAGTCAAGCTCACCCCCTCGACACCCTACCACCCACAGACAGACGGACAAACCGAGCGGGTGAACCAAGAGATAGAGGCCTACCTTCGAGTGTTTGTCAACCACTGCCATGATGACTGGGTGGACTGGCTCCCGCTAGTGGAGTTCACCTACAACAACCGCGTCCACTCCTCTACCCGCCGAACCCCCCTTCAAGCTCGACACTGGGCAACACCCCAGGATGGGGACAGAGCCCACACGCATGTCCGAGGTGGAAGCCGCAGATGCGTTCTCCTCGAGAATGATGAAAATGCAAGAGGAGGCGAAGGCAGGTCTGGAGCATGTGGCAGATGAGATGGCCTGCTACTATGACCGCAATTGTGAGGCAGCCCCTACATACCGAGAAGGCGACCAAGTCTGGCTTAGCACCCAGCACTACACGTCTGACCGTCTGACCAAGAAGCTAGACCACAAGTGGATTGGCCCCTTTGAGATCACCAAAGTCGTCTCCCCTGTTGCCATCAAACTCCGACTCACCGCATGACAGAAAGGGATCCACCCAGTCGTGTCTGTGATGAATGTCAGACCGCACCGCCCCAATGAAATCATGGAACACCCCACTGACCTGGGCCCAGACCTCATAGATGGGGAAGAAGAGTACGAGGTCGAAAAAATTCTGGACTCCAGATGGTGGTGCCGGAAACTCTGGTACTTGGTAAAGTATACCGGATGGCCAAACTCAGAGAACCAGTGGCTCACACGCGACCACCTAACCCACGCCTCCGACCTAGTGGAAGACTTCCATCAGACACACCCCCATGCCCCAGGGAGAGAAAGAGAAGACTGCCCAGCCACTTCGAGGTGAAGCGGCTTAAGGAGGGGGTGATGTCAGGGCATCTCCTGACATGCCCCGCTGTTAGAACGGGGCTGATACAGACGACTCCGGAGTGGAATCAGAGACTTAGCATGGAGGGACCTTGGCCTCAGCGACTCAAGCGGAGTGCTGTGCCATTGCTGTTTGTCCATTTGGTCCTTAATTTCACAGTAGGTGAGCAGGAAGTCTCTAGGGGGCATGTTACGGATATGGAGTCTCCAACGACCATATCCATCACATGGTCAAAGACTTCTCCTCATTATTGTTCCTCCCCTCTTTCTCCCTTCCGTCCTCTATCCCGATACCCTATCCTCCTTACCTGTTCTACCCCTTTCCCCCCCCTTGTGCAAAGCTTTCCCCAACTGGGGTTTTGGTGCTGGCCGAGGTTATTTGTGTTTCACGGGATTTCCCATGACCTTACCATTTGTAGATAGTCACGCATCTTGTACGGAAACCGCTGAAGGCGGTTCCCGCTAACTAACAACTGCTCTACAACTGTCTTGTGTACCGTCTTCTGTAACAACCCTCCCTGTGACTCAACTGAACCCGTGCGATTGTACAGCTCTCAATATGTCTTATATGTCTGGTTATATCGAGTCCTCTAACGGCCCTCGCCATGAGAACTCGAAGTCGCGAGTCGAAGACTCTCGACATGTATTTTGTCCTATGGAATCTGTACCCTATGGGTCCTCCTCACTACGCTCTCCCCCCAGTACTCGACACACGACGTCCCATCACGATCTTGGAGATCGTGAATACTCTGAGGCCCGCTTACCCGTGATGCCGGCACGTTCGCTACATGAACGCCAAGTAGCCGCCCATCCACCATCTGTTTCTTCCTTCGCAAGTCATCATGTTTCCCTGCCAATGGTACGTTCCCTTTGGGAACGCCAAGTCACCGAAGGCCCTATTAGTCAGTCCCCATTGCATGCCTATGATATCAACCCGCTACCGGTATGTTCGCACTGCGAATGCCAAGTACCCGATAGCAACTATACGAAGATCTCACCCATCTCACAAGTCGCGACCTCGCACACGGTACACTCCATTGAGGAGCACCAAGTATCTGTGGCCGACCTGTCTGTCCTGGTATCTCCGACTACCTATCATCAATCCCTTAATGGCTCACTACATCACCAACCGCGATCGATGGGAATTTGATCGTCCGCTCCCAGGCAAGACTGGGATCACTCATCGATTACATATCCTGTTATGGTACAGACTAGACATGACCCTCGTCATCCCACTATAAGAACGGATCGAGGAATGGGGAATTTTCCCCATCCCCGTAACATTGGTGCCCCAACCCCGGTGTGAGAAACTCGCACCATGCCACCAAAGACGGTGTCCCTGTTGGGAGATGAACCAGTCACCCCAGTCCAAGTGACACACGAATTGTATCCTCCTTCCCGTCCCACGAGGATCAGTCAGTCGGATCGTAGATCCAATTCAAGAGATACCTCGCCAGTAGGCGAAGACGTGCATTCCTCGCCCGGCGCATTCTTAAGACAACAAGCTCTCAGGCAAGTCATTGAAGCTCTTGGAGAGTTTGAAGGTGGAATTTTTGAGGACTCGAATAACTACATGAAGCAGATACGAAATACCCCAGTCATAGGACAAAGCTTCGTGAGCCTGACCAATTTGATGGTACTGACCCTCAGAAACTCTGTACCTTCCTTGTTCAGTGTGAACTCAACTTCCAGAACCACTGTAGGAGAAATAATATTCAAAGAATAAAACAATGATCTATCAGAATAGTCAATGAACAGGTGACAAGTTCAGACGTTTAACAGATCTCATGATCTTTATGAGACTGGACAGACATTAGATCATTATAAATTATCTACACCCATGTAGCATGAGATTTAATCTACTACAATCATGCCTAGAACTTGGCATAGGTGTAATATTCAAAGGGTATGTCCCTGCGATGAGAAAATAGCACATAGACGGCAGAATAAGAAGGAACATTGGGAAAGAAATGTGAATATCTCGGGAACCAGTAAACTTTTGACTGTAATATTTTTACCATCTGAAAGGACTGTTTTTCAACTTTATCCACGGTTTTGTTTCATTCTAAAAGCTTCAAAACTGACGGAGATATTGCTCAAACAGCGAAACACCTTATAATTCATATATATTTGTTTGCTAATTCTTACAAAAAGTAATGTGACTCAAGGGAAATATATTGGCGCCCGGAAGTCTGGCGGACCGAATACCATATGATAGAGTATTTCCCGGCGCGGGCGGACAGTTTTTGATCGCATCAGAAGAGGAGAAAATGCTAAAAAACCTGAGGTAGTAGAGGCTGGGATCCTGCCTAACCATGAGGCCAGTTATCGGAGTTGGCCTCAGTCATTTAATTCCTTGACTCTCCATCCGTAAAACACTCACTCAGTTGACATTTTCTTTGTAGTTATCGGATATAATGAGCACTGTGAGTTGAATCGATGATGGTCTGAAACGATAAAAGGGGTTGACAGAGGGGGGACACCATCTCTTACTCCTGCCTTTGGCACTTAACCAGAGAGAAAGTGGTCTGGAGAAGTGTCGTTTGGAAGGCGAGCCACCCTCTTCACGGTCATTCACAAGGGGAGCTGGGTCTCTAAGCACTATGATCTCCTCCACACGTGCAGAGTTCCTCTTCTCAGTGCCTATCAAGTGACATGCTGGTGACATCAAACCTAAACACCGATCTGAACATCGCAAATGGAACTCGAGGAGAAGTGGTGGGGGCCAAGGGTTTCGCTTTGTTGCCCACCATCCTGCCCTCTTATCAGGTTGGAAGTCACTCAAGTGCTCTATGGTGCCTGACAAAGACGGAGAACTTGCAGTCATGAAGTTCTCATTTGCAAGGTACATGACCTGTGTGCGGAGCCTTGAAGCAGGCAGACTCAAGTACATATGCTTCGAATATGCCGGCAAATACTACTTGGGAAGCAGCAAGGTATCGGGCACTGGTTAATACAATTCGTTGGATAGTCACATGCTATTGGGAATCACATGAGAAGTAAAAGTAATATAAACACATTTTTCCCACGCAATTGTGGGTTTGGAAGTGACCTTGCAAGCAAGGTAATTGCCAAATGGAATCCCATTTCTCCACGCGTCTACCGACGGGGTATGTGAATTTCTCTGTGCAAGGAAGGGTGTTTATGGTGCGCATTCAATGCTTTGTCTAACCCCGAACGCGAACTTTGCCACTTTCAAGGTCCCCGAAGCTCTCCTCACTAAATGCAGTGCTGCATTCCCCGATTTGGGGGAAAATGAGTGTTCTTCACCAGAACCCGTTATTCTTGACGATTCTTCCGAGGCATTTGAAACCTTTGTGAACTATCTTTACGAGTACGTTTCCGTTACTGTATATAGTATTTAATCCTGCCTCAACTTCGCATTTCAAGCTCTGGGTCATCCTGCATTTTCAGCCCTGAACCCAAGCTCAAGCCCGTCCTTGAGTTGCTCTGTATTGCGCACAAGTATTGCGCAGAGGACATCGAGGGCAAAGCTATGGAAATCGCACAAAAACTGATTCAACCTAACGTCCTTGAGTCACATCTCATCAACGGATTTACGGCCCTTGATGTGTTCCGTGCCGGAATCGCCGTCAACTCCGCTGCTATCTCGGACACCGCGTGGGAGTTAGTTTTGGTGATGTCACGATCGGGTAATTTGTCTGATCGACTGCTTCTGGATGAGGGAACACGTTCTGGTCGAAGGAAGTATTGGGAATCTGCTTATTACCAGGTCATGCTGAATCAGGGGCCATGTATTTGTTGGACCCGTGACCCAGCTTTAACGGACAAGGAGCATCGTCGACTCATGGTAGGGCATGCGCGGTGCTCCACCGACTGGGAAGCTTTCCAACGACGCATTGCTGATGGCAACTTTCAAGCTCTGAACCACCCCATAGACTACACACGAGCAGAGCGAAAAAATATTATCTTTAGCTCTTCTTACTGGCCTGTTCCATATGTGTCTCAATACCGATACGCGAATGTGGGGGTTGACCATATCCTTCCACTGCTCGCAAGGGAAGGCTTACCAGTATGGGACATTGTCGGACGGCTTGAATTGCTTAAAAAAAGCGCACCGGAAGTAATCTCCAAGTATGCGAGCGACACTCTACTTACCGTGCGAAAACACTTTTACCGCTATTTCCTCCTCGACGAGGATGACGACTATCCGAGCAATTAGCATGTGTTGACCCCATCCGTGATTGACAGAACGTTACGAGCAGCAATCATGTATAGTAGTGGTTCAAGTTGCCTGTCGAGGGCGCAGATTGAATCCCCCGTTGCATGCCCTTTTTAGTCCACTTCCAAATTGGCAGTATGACCCCACAATTGAGCCTCTGATCATCCTCCATGCCCAAGCCTTCTTCCCGGCCTCAAATGACAGGGGGGGCCTTCTACATAACTGGCTGGGTTTCCCTTCCGTTTCTCCTCTGTCCCTCAAGCACTTGCGCTCGAAACTAAGGTTAGTAGCTACTCATGTCATATGCACTACCCGCTAATAAAAGCAGTTTCTGAAAGTCGCAATGCGATTCTGGAGTGCCTTCGCCCCACTTGCTCTGCTTCCAATTGTCGCGGCTGATTTCTTATGTGGCCCAAATTACTTGCAGTCCGGACGTGGCTGGTACTACGGGCGAAAGTTTCCAAGCTGGGGCTATCAGCCCTTCATGTCAAAGTAGGTGAACCAAACCAAAAACGAAATTTACCCTCATTCTTAACCTATGTTTGCCCTAACAGCCGATTGCGTTACTGTAGCGAACAACACTGATCCGAACCTTCAATACTATCCCACAGCAATAATGACCGATCCGGTTTGCAGCGCTGAGGTCACAGTGGATGTCCAAAACAACGCGTGGAGTGCCCCTGGGATTGGAGAGAGTGGAGGTTGTTCCTGCGCTGGAATGAGCGCGTCATGCATTCGTTGGGACGCCGCACAAGTGCGTTGAGGATTTGAAGTTGATTTGCTCTGGTGGGCCCACCTGCTAGTAGCACCAGGATCTGGTGGAGGAGCGACTCCATGCATGAGGCTGGAGTCCTACCAAGTAGAAATTACAGTGCGCGCGAATATATCCATGTCCAGAAGCCGGGTCAACAGAAAGGGAGTAATCAAAAGAGACAGGAAATTCGCCAACTCGTGCAGCCGTGTTCAAAAAATGCTGTCAATTTGATTCATGGAGTAGGGAAATCATCTTCAAAGCCTGGGGGGGGCTGGTCTCCTTATTGGGATCAATGGCTTCGATATCGAGAAATTTTTTTTCGTGTGGACTGGAGGGAGTGAAGAACCCGTTCCCCAGAACAAAAAGAGGGGAATTGTGCATCCCCTATCTGTGATACGCTCTCCTCGTTCTTACAAGAGGATATTTTGAAGCATCGGGGTGAGGTGCGAAAGCTGCTCGACTAGCTAGATGCGTAACAAGGATATGGCCTAGAAATTTTCATAAGACCTTACCACGCACGGGGCACCAGAATATCGTTATTGATATCATACTTGAACGATTTTATAAAGTTACAAATGCAAAGATGTACGTAAAATAAACAGACGATGCGAAGTCCTATACAAAAGTGAAACGCTAAAGCAGTCAATCTTCGGGATTATCAGATGTTTCGGAGTAAGAATCGTCAGATAATTCCTCACAGGGAGAAGAGATGTCGGATGATGTGCTGCAAGGGGGATAATCGCTAGACACAGAGAAATCATAATCAAGCATAGCACCCGGATACCAAGTGGTTTGACCAATATCGACGACAATGGGAGCTTTCATCTTTCCCTGGAGTAGAAATCGAGTACCATCCTTGCTGGACTGAGGACAGTAGAAACCGTTTATATAACTGACCCGTCGATCGCCATACCAGGGTTCCATGCCGTTGGTGCTGTTTGCCTTGAGAGAAACCGGGCGATACTCTATTGGGAAAGCAAGTTGGGAACTTCCATTGAACCATATGTTTGTATAAGAATCATCGACTAGTGGGGTCTTTCCTGCGGCAAATGAATAGCCTGATTGCTGCCTGGGCAAGTGATGGAAAAATGGACGCTTGATCCAAGACTCATCCGAGTCAGGCCCCGCGTCCACGCAGGAATGATGTGCATAGACTGAATCCCCTGCCAATGGAAGAGTAGGTTGAGTAGATACCGGATGAGCGATGTGATACGGGCAAGTAGGGGCCATTCCGGGATTTATAATCCAAGATCTATCTCCCCGTACATCATAACGTGCAATAAAATCACCCGATTCCGTCGACCAGGTGAAAGCACTGTGCCCATCAAAGGCAGCAATGTATTGTGCCCCTGGAGAAAATGCAATTGTGTGACGCTCAGGAAAGGCTGGCTCAGAATTGGATTGGGAGGATGGAATGGAAGAGTCGGAAGGAGGAGGGGCAAGCGGCTGAATGTGCGGGTCACCTAAAATGTATATACACGCCATGTTGCTGTACCAAGGCTTGCCTGGGTCCCGTAGGACTCGTACGATGAAGAATCCACTATCTGAGACTGCAGTTACAGCGGGATAGGCACCTATGGGGAGAGTGCCAAGTTTCACAGGGAGCGGACCATGGCCGTAGATAGCGATGTTCCCATCGATATCCTCGGTAGCGACACAATGACCACTGTAGATAAACTCAATCCATGCTGGTGGATTGGATGGATGGTTCTGAAACTGAGATATTGTACGCTGATCATCGAAATCAGAAATCTCAATAACACCACTACCAAACCCGAGTGCAACGTATCGACCATCTCTTGAGAGTGCTGCGCATGTCACAACGCCATTACGGACATTAGGTTCGCGGAATTCAGCTTCGTAATTGATCTCTTCACGACCCCACCCACCAACCTTCTTTGGCAATCCATCTAATTTTGCCTCCATAAGGATTTGGGCATTAAGCGAAGCCTCGCTCAATGGAATCAAGTGGTTCAAAATCTTGCCAGAAATACCAAAGATCCGAATAGGTTCAGCGAGGTGACCATATAGTTTATAAAGAGATGATTCGGGTGGGTAGCAAAGAGACATAGATCGGTGATGCAACCATGGAATGGCAACCCCATCCATGGCCGCACATTCTCGGAGGAGTTCAATTACATCATGATTCTATCGAAAGTGGTGTCAAATAAATGTAATATGAACCGGCTCAAACTTACATTGAATTCATAAAATCCTGGTGGCGCGCCAGGGTACCCACCCACGTGCATGAATGTAAGGAAGTTTCGTGTAAGGAAGGAATTGAACTCGTTCTGCAATTCATTGTCATTGGACTCTTGGGAAAAGAGTTTTGCCGGGTCCAGGTGGTAGAGTACGTAGCGAATGTATTGGATGTAATCGGGCTGATGGCTGAAGGATTTAAAATCTGCCCATTTTTCTTTGTCACTGAGAGGGGGATTAGTGGGTATCCTAAATTCATTCCGCTTGCAACAATTATTGAAAATCCGAAGGAGTAGCAGTCCAAGAAAATATCCTTTCTTGTCGTTGATAAAAAATATTTTATCATTTTCATTACCAATTGGATCCCCCGTTATGAATTCTTTCGCCGTGGCATGATAGAATTTAACACCTGCCATGTCATCTGAGGGGAGTTCAATGATTGAACTGATCGGTTCCAATGTGGCTTGGGCCTCATCCTCGGCAATTCCTAAAAGCTGTGACATAGAATACACACTCAGTGACCTATGCGCCGCAATGATCGTGCCAACCAATAGGCGATACATTTTGGCTACATCCAGGGGAACTGCAGATGAACTGCGCACATAGGCTCTTCGGAGTATTCGCAAGTACTCCCGGTTGAGATCGATGGGTGCATCAGCGAGATTGAGCAAGTCCTGGAACTCCCTCTGCAGGGTGCGGCCGTGCCCGGTCCACCACATGACATCACGGATTCGGATTGAGGCCATAACAGGCAATTCACGGCAAGCCAAAGTGAAAGCATGAAGATCTTCCTCGGAAGGTTTCCATCGAGACTTCTTAATACGATCTCGAAGGCCATGCTCCACCATGCAACGGATTGTGTGATACTTCTCCTCCTTTGTAATTATATCCACATCTTTGCATGGTATGACAAGACCCTGATTTCGAGCTTCATCCCAAGCCGATACAACCGGTGACTCAGGGCGACAGCTGACGAATACCGCGAATGTGGCTGGCAGCTCTTCGAGGATAAGGACGAGCCCCATCAGACATTCGAGTGCTTCTAGATCTCCACACTCGTCCAAGCCATCTAAGACAATGACAAGGCGATCTGTTTCGGAGGGTAGTATCGCCCTCAGATTGCGCATCGGCTCGATAACAAGAGCCTTCATTTGCTTGTCCAGAGGCAGATCCTGGACCAATTGCAGATCTCGCTGCCGAAGGCGCCTAACAAGTGACATCTTGAAGTCCTCATCGAAGGATGCAAGTTGATGTGCCAGCGTGGAAGGGAACCGTTTAGTAGAATCGAGGCCCGATCCAGTCTGGTTCTTATCCCAAAAAAAGGACGCTGCTAGAGTGCCTTGCGCCTCAAGGGTGGATGCAACACTCATAGCTATAGCAGTCTTCCCCGACCCAGGGGATCCCCGTAACCAGACAAATCGGTTCTTCGTGTCCTTCAAATGATTGAGTATGGATTCCTGTATCTTGTCCTGAGTGGTTGGGAGGCACTCTGACTTGCTCTTCACGTGAATGTGCTCGGCAGGGGCGGGCTTCAGTCTCGACAGCTCCGCTGGAAGTGTGTTAGCGGGGGGAGTTTTAAAGAATGTATAAAGACGAACATTGCATCGATGACTGAATTGTCTGAAGGAGGTTCAACGTCGTTGCCTCCGCCTGTAAAGTCATTAAGCCGGCCAACATTCAACGCTCGAAAGAAAAATTTACAAACCGAGAATGAAGCAATTGCCTTATTGAGACCCTCCTTCACGTCGATTATAATCTTGGCGATATTTGTCCCCGTTACGAACCTCATTACGGACCCTCGACTCTTGAGGGATTTGATACGGTCGGCTTGTTTTTGCAATGCACTATCAAGAAGCTTGGAGGTTCCCTGATTGACCGAGGGAGAGGTATGCAACGTACGAGTGAAGTTCTTTGAGTGGAGCAATCAATTCGCGAGGAATGTGACCAGGATACAGTTCGAGTGGCCGCAAGATGATGGTGTAAGCCTTCCTGATGTCGTCAATAAAGCCCTCGAGACTTTCATTATTGCCATCAAAAGTCTGATCGGATAGAAACAAAATGTGAGCGACATCCGATCACTAACGACAAAACCAAACGTTACGCGGACCTCGTAAGCTTGGACCAATGTAAGAAGGAGGTCTGTAATTTGGCTGGCGTATGGAATAGGGGATATCTTGAGAGCAGATGATGCAGTTTGGAGCATAAGTTTCGTGGCGCTGATAACTGTTTTCGTTCCATCGCTGGCGGGGACGGCGCCCAATAGTGGCTTTGATTCTGATAGAGGCAAGTTGATGTCCACATCTACGTGCTTCAGTTTCGTACGGACGGCTGAACTTGGTTCATAATTGGTGCTTGTTGGGCGAGCTGAGTGAGAATTATCTGGGGATGAGGGCTGAGATAGCGATAGCTTCGTGATATGGGAAGATGAACGAGTGGTTGTTGTCGGACTAGATTCCCCGGGAGGCGAGACATTTTGTGGTCTAGGACCGGGACTTGGGCTCCTGCGAAATAGCCCCGTTAGGCGTTGCGAGGCCCCGGATACCAGTTGCCTCGGATCTCTAGATCTACTGGGAGATCTTGAAAGGCCCCCAGGAGGCCGAAGATGAGATCCCTCCGATTCATTATTTCGATCGTAGCCAGTGGTTTGGTCCGTTCGATCTCCGGTGACAGAAATCTCGGGTGGTATCATTTGAAGTGAGGGATACAACGACTGGGTGTCACTTGGAGATAGTTCAGGGACAACATGTTGAGAGGACGATGGAGCATATTCGTCGCGAGCCATAGTGCCGGTTTATGTGACAGTTGATGTGGGAGAGTGAGGTTGGGAGGCCCGATCAAGCTCGGTCACTGGATCAATGTTGAACAAGCGCCCATGCAATGAACACGAGGCAAATTCAATTGAGGGAACCATGGGCCATTAGGTGTTGCCTTCTTCGGAAACGGCGTTGACTTTGAGTATGCATTGGCCACAATGAGTGTATCATGCAATACGCTTCAATGATAAAGATGTTTGAGGAAACAATCTACAAATCCGTCAGTCTATTTTCTATAGCTAAGTGGCTTCACGTCCACAGTGGTATATGTTAACGTACATGCGAACATCAGGGAGCGTGGGGGGATTGCTTTATTCGCAGACATTCAATGGAGCGGAGACGTGCATAAGAACAGGGAAGTGTCATTGTTGTTTGGTGACTCGGCCAGTTACCGTGACCTCAAGTGTCGAGTATACGGAATAAATATCTTGCAATGAAGCGGCAACTTCAGATTTTGAGTTGCTCGTGCAGGTAAGGCGAGAGGATAGGATTATCTCGTATGCCGAGTCGAAAATTTATCCCATGGGTGGATGATCTCACGACAATAAATGTTGGGAATATTTCACGATTCATGAACCATCGCGAAATCCGAAGTTTACAAAAATCCAGAGGCCATCATCCACAAGGATGATCACCTGGCAGCAGAGTCGCATTGGGGATGAGATGAACTTCAGATAGACAGGAAAACCAAAAAAAAAGTCCACATTTCTATGCCGAGTGCTTTCGAAGAGATGTTCAGGCAATGGGGATGCATGTCCAGCGAAGACTTCGAGTTTCCGGGCCACAATATGGTACAACGGACGCATTGGTCTTCCCGAGCCCACTACTCGACTGAACGAATGGAGCCTGCAAGGGGCTTTTGAAATAGCCAACCCAAAACATTCTATATCGAGCATCAATGGGGTCACCTTGCCGAACAATATACTAATAGAGGCTGGTAACCTGCCTACCGAACAATCTCATTCGATTAATGAGCCGAACGTGAGAGTGTGGTTAGCTGAAGCGTGGCTGAGTCCCCAGAAGCATCCATCTGGTGGTTGCACAAGACCCCGAACTCGTCAATGGAACATGGGCTGCGGAGGAGGACGGTAGATTCAAATCAGACTGATTTTTACTTTATTTTTGTGTGTTTATTCCGAAGATCCTTGCCCTTGCAGTAACTCAGGCTAAATATCTAGAAGTCCCAAACACGCACAAGACCACGCCAACAATGGGCGTTATAGCTGTCCGGCGGGTGTTACTCCTTATAATGCGTTTCATGGCGTTCAATTTGCGCTTTCGTTCTGGTATCTTGCCGAGTTCCACTCAATAAGGCGCTAGCGAGAATTAGTGAGTTCTTGTCAGTAATTTTCGCAACACCACCTCCCCCCCTGTACAGGTTCGTTGAACCGCTGGTTGTTGCCCACAGGCTGATCATCCAGCGCACGGATAAATTAATTTTAGAAGCAAGGCAATTTGTATCGTTCTTGCCTGCGACTAGATTTCTCCTCATCCCTAGAGGTTGATGTGCATGCCAACGCTCTCAACTTTCCGTTGAAGGACGCCACGTATCGTGATACCCCACTTCCGACACTGACAAAAGAAGGGGAAATACTGAGCACAGAATTCGCCACTCAGCCAATCTCAACCTTCAGAGTGAATTCAGGGAAGCTTTATTGATCATATCAGGTTTCACCCATCATACTTCTTTGGTCCTTTTCCCGCGAAGACGTGGCAGAGGCCAGGAGAGCCACCACAGGACGCGCAACCCTCAGACACCTTAATGCCCCCCAGACTTGTGTTTATGACATGAAATTCAGGTGGAGCTCCAGAGACCCTGTTCTTGACGTGCGCTAAAGGCACTTTCCAATGTCAGCCATATTTTGCGCAAGTAAGGATAGGGATACATCCTGAGTCCCGAACGATTAGAGGCAAGGGGCTGCATGGCTGCAGCGCCGGCATGATGCCGGCCCACTGGATCGGCTAACTATGAGCCAATCACTCCCACTCAGAGCTTCTCTATCTTTAATCTTATAGCTAGCTTTTCCCCGCTATGCTCCTCATCATGCACTGTTGCATGGCGGCTCTTGCCAACCTAACTGTTTGACATCGAAATTATACTCGGTAGCCTCTTGCCGCCAATGAGCATGAACTCACAAGACACCTGCCATGACTCTAGACCCCGAGTTTTGCAGGACACGCCCTGAGTATTTTTCGGTGCCCAGTGGTATTCGCATTTACCTGCCAATCCGTCAGTGTCACACGTGCTTCAGCATAGTGCTCATGCAGGTATGATGACCCGAAATGGGTATTTGATCAGTGGTCGAGAACGTCGGAAGAACCCAAGCCAAGCGAGCGTTTCTGTGAGCGTGGACTTTTTGATTCGCTGTCAGAACGGTAACCGGGCAAACTTGGCCCACGAGCATTGGAACGCAACATCACCAAGGAGAATACGGCGTTGGGCAGAGAAACTAGACAGCGCCGGGGAAGTGTCGAAGGATCAGCACCACAGGGGTTCAATGCGAAGAACCGGTCCACTTAAAACGGACATGACCAGGAGGGCATGTCGCAGTGGCAACAGGAGAACATTTTTGGACGCTTCCATCCATCATGACCAAATACAGCTGCTTGTGCAGGGTCTAGTGCACTCATCCTGCAAGTCAACCAATCGCGTAGTTGCCTTCTACCTCGCTAGGATTTTGCTCCAAACATGGCACCGCTCCTGTCTTGTACAGGTGCCGTGGTGACGTACATTCCTGGATAGCAAACTCTAACTAGGTGTGCTGTTGAGGTACAGGCAAGATGATCAATAAACTAATCAGCAGTGAAGAATGGATAAGTTAGTTGCGCTCTCTGAGGGCACCAGTGTATCGCCGAAGGAGTAGCCGCTCCACCCAACCATCAGCGGGGAACGGTTTCTCCCATTGGTTGTGCAAATGCACAGCAAATACCTTTCTCAACGTCTTATCCAAATCGCCACCTTCCTTCAGGCTGAGGCCGTTTCCCCATGTCCTGCCGTCTGGAGCGAATGGATCTGGTAATCGATTGTCCATTCGACATGAGCATCCGTCAGAGAAACAGAAAGGGAGAATCTTGAATGGCGGGATGGATGCAGCGACAAGTCGTCGCCAAAGTTTGGAGTAGAGGTATGATCCCCAGTCTGTAGATCCGGGCTTTGGGGGAGAGCAAGTGTGCATAATATGAAAAGCTTCGCAGAGATAGGGCGAATGTTTGTGGAAATGCATTAAGGCGCCGTTTGTGGGCTGGTATTTGTTATCTGAATGGAATCCACCGGCCACCGTGAGATTGTGCCAGAAGGGGGGAGAATGGGGGCACAAAAATAACGTACCGTAACAATCCCATTGGGTGACAAACTCGTGCTCCAAGAGCGGGTTCAGATCTCGTGTCAGGAGCGAGTCCATGTCGATCCAAATTCCACCATGAGCCCATAGGACTAGCAACCGGAGAAGATCACTACCGATCCATGTTTTCTGATCGCTAGACTTGAGTAGTGGCGAACCGTGCAACGGTGTTCGATGAGCTAGGGTATCGACTTCCACCGTGCGGACTTCGAACGCTTCCGGATAGGCGGCGAGGAATATGGCAATTCGAGGACGCGTCATTAAGACCGAAGCGTCATCCGTCCATATAATCAGTGTAGATTCACGTATGTTTTGGGTGGCGAAGAAAGATTTCAACGTCCATTCATGACGCTCATCGAAGGGTAGAAGGTCTGATGGCCAATACGTATGATAATTTGTCCGCTCTGAGCGTGGGAGGGAAGGGGAGCCGTGAGGAGATGGAAGCGGAGAGGGTATGGTTCCGGCAAGGTTGTAACAGTCCATGTTATGGCGCAGTTGAAGACCACTTTGGACATCATACGTCTTTGGAGCGCGGGCGAGAGTAAAGTTATATTGATTCCCATCAGCATTTAGGCGCTCTGGAGAGAAGCACCCTAACAATGGCTCAATTTTCGTAACTCCTTGACGGATCCATGGTCGTGAAATTAGCGATATTTCGAAATGAAGTTCCCATCGATAGAAAAACCATAATAATGCAAGTATAATGACCAACAATGGATATTTAATCAGTGGCCGCAAACGGAAGAGCCAAAGGCCAAGCAAGCGTTTCCGTGAACGTGGACTTTTTGTCAATTCGCCATCAGAACGGTACGCGGGCAAACTTGGCCCACGAGTGTTGGAACGCAACATCATCAACGGTGCTGAGCAAGGAAATCTCTGATGCACTCAAGAAGGTGTCTTGTGTGTCCAACGGGCCGATTTGCGCATGGGCCTGCTAGTAGTGGGCTGAGGATGACGTTGAAGATGGGAGCGTAGGGTTCGGCAACACCCGTATTCCCACACATCTGTGTGGTTCGAGCGGAAAAACTTTCCCTGCTCACAGAGCACCCGAAAGGCATTACCTATATATTTGATGATACTTCAAGGAACCAACGAATTCTTGCCATTCGCGCAAAACATGTGGTGCCTTGGCCTGTTGCAAATTGTGGTTTTTTGGTTTCTTCGAGCGGCGCGGCGGGTTTCAGCGTCGACGCGAAGGCTCGAGCTGCTTATTTCTTTGGCCTGAAATGATCCACTCCGGTTCACTTCCTGGGAAAGGAATGTGTTATAGCGCTCATACGGGAAGCGTAAACACGTCAATAAGTAATGCTGATGTTGATGGACCAATATTGGGATAACCCCTGGTTGCCACCTTCCAAGGTGGTGTCTGTTGAGGACGTGTGTCAAATGCTCAATAAAAATTCAGGGTTTGAAGGCATGAAACCACGTATCGCAGTAAGCATCGCGATCGGCCAGCTTAAACTGTGGGTGATGATCGTGTGGGTAGTATCCCCGCGTACGCTTTATCATTTTCCCACACGATAAATTTGGCCAATTCAATGAATCACGATAAATCACGTGCAGCAGAAGACGGTAACGAACCCACCCTCGACTTGAGATTCTCCGTGAGCTTTTTTCATTTTTCGTGCCTTCGTACCTTCTCTTAGAATTGTCTGCTGTAGAATCCGCAGTGTAGTTGGGGTCTAGAGATATAGGACGCGTCCAGCTGGCTTCTCAGTACCCTCTTCATTGACCCTCTGATTGTGCAGGGATCCCCCTGACACATCACCTGCATCGAGGCTACGTTTCGTGCCGTACACCGTCTCCTTGTTGTAGCATCACGATTCTCTAATTTCTTTTTATCGTCCATGGCTTTTGCCACGCGACGACGCCCTCCAGCGTTGGATACAGCAATTGCTTCTTACCAGCCAACCCAATATGCTTCTGACAATCCTGTACTGAGTGACCCGAGTAATCACTCCGCTGCGGGACCATCCAGATCTCGCTCTCCAACAGGAAGAGGCGTTGCTGTAGTTAATGATGAGAACGAGCCAGTTGTTCCCTATCCTGCGGAGGATGATCAATTTTCACCAGCTGGAGACGACTTTGTGCTTGCCATGCACGATTTTGTTCCTGTTGCTGCCAACGTTCAGTGCCTTAGTTTTCGGGCCGGACAGGTAGTTCGCGTCCACAACCGTGATCCGACAGGATGGTGGGATGGAGAGCTTGAGGGGCGACGGGGGTGGTTTCCAAGCAACTATGTCAGCGCTCAAGCTACTGGGTCCACTCACTCTCCACCATCTCGCCATAAAAGGGTAAGTGTAACTTCCGTTGTTGATCCAAAGTAACCCTAACTTTACGCAATTCGAAGTCTCGCATCCGCCATCGACACCACCTTAGCCGTGATAAGTCATTGCGCTCTTCAAATTCACGCGGGAAACATGCTCAGACATCTCCCTCAGAGGACACGCATGGCGTTCCTGCTGTTCTGGTTTCTCTAGTCCAAGCTCTTTCTCTTCTCCAAAACGCCGTGACCGCGCGCCGCATAAATCACTTTCAGCCTTCTACAGCGTGTGTAATATCATGCGTTCGCTCAGTCCTTTCCGCCACCGACTGTTTAGGACGGGACTCTCCGGCATTGGCTCAGTTTCCAAAACTCGCTTCTGCTCGCAAAGTCGTCCTGACCGATCTCGCGAAGCTGGTAGCTCAAGCCCGGAAAGCATCTGAGTTCGTGGCTCCAGATGATGAGGAATTAGATTTCGAAATTGGCGAGATGATGAGCATTGGGGAGACTGTGTATCTGCATGTCCGCATGTTTCTAAACGTAGCCGTGGATTGTGGACTTCAGCTTCCAGAGAGAAAGGGATCATCTCCTGTAGAAGAAGCGTACGAGCGAGCGATAGCTGCCTCAAACCGCCCCCCAGGCGACGACATTGTCCGAGGTCGGCGATTGAACGACGATCGGGATGCGTCCTCGTCTAAGTTGAGAGCAAGAAGTATGGTTGACTTCCGAAGATCCCGAAGTGCCCTCCCACCCAATTCCCCCTTATTCCAACCATCCGATCCCCAGCCTCCCCCAATTCCCTCAAGTGCGAATACCTCTGATGCTGAACAAACCCCTGGGTATGCCTCACATGGGTTCTTTCGTAGAGCCCCTAGTCCGAAGTCGACGCACAATAGTGGTTCATCTATGTCTTCGCTAGGAGCTGATGCTGACGCCGATGCGGCCGTGAACTGGCCAGCTGGGCCCACGTCCACCCCACAGGTTCTGGTCACACTTCGAACCACACATGATAGATTACTATCGATCATTGCTGCATTCATTGGGCATGTCCATTCGCATTCACAAAGTGCGCACGCATCAAGTAAAGGGCATCTAATAGAGATGACTCGCGAGACTGTCGACCAAGTCCGTCAACTATTAGCGCTTGTTGATTCCGTCATGGCTACTCCTGAGGTTGTAGAACAAAAGCCGAGAGAGTTCATGCAGCTTGAGTCGGCTAAGTCGAATCTATTCGCGTACACTTCATCACTAGTGGATTCGATCCGGGCAATTACATCCTTGCGTGCCTCAGAGAATGAGGATGAAGAGAAAGGAACATGTCTCCAAGCTGCAACGGGCGCTTTGCGTGCTGGTGCCGAGTGCGTGACAAGCGTTAAGCTGTGTCTCAGTAGGCGTATAGGAGAGGAGCCATTCACGATTTTTGTCCTTCCGCCACCTTCAACCGATCCTCATCACCCACCAAGAGCCGGTAGTCCAACAGTATCTATTCCCTATTCACGATATACCACATCTACGTATGGTGAAACCATTGATGGACCATACGGACCCTCCCTTATCGGCTCTGTCAATAACCACATAGCCACGGATCTTCCTGTGGTACAACATGATACAGAACCTCCAAGTTCCCTGGTGGAAGACCCTACTCTTCGTCCGACTCGTGATCCCTCTTCCGATGCCGGGCTGAATGAGACAAAGGGCCAGGTTACTCGGGATTCATTGGAAGCACCCCCGTCTGTTGGGTCCCGCGGCTCAAGGACTCCAGTCACTGTCAAATTTCCCCGTTCGGCACCGAACATTGCTATCAAGATTGATGATGTTCCTGTTCGTGTGTCTGCAGAGTACATCAGTAGCGACGATGTGGATTCAGGCTTCGTGTCGCAAGGACGCCAAAGCTTCGAGCCACTTGCTGCCCCGCCAAGACCAGATTCAGCTGTTTTATCGGACTCCGCTCGCCCAGACCATCCACCTCGCAGCCTCTTGGAGGCGAAAATGGAGATGGGTGTACTGCCAGCGCTTCCTTCGTCTTCACCTACAATCGAATCGGTCGACGAGGCATCTGTGCCTACGGAGATTGAACTCATGCGCAAATCCGACGATCCTGATGCATGGCTTATGATGTCTAACTTTGATTCAAGGGATCAGGCCCTGAACGCGGACGGCACGCTCATCGGCGCCACGCTAGAAGTTCTAGTTGAAAAGATGACGCCTGCTCTACCCACACCCGACTCATCTTTGGCTGCTGCGTTCTATCTTACCTTCAGACTCTTTACCACCCCCGACGAACTTCTCACTGCTGTCATCAGCCGTTTCTCTATTTCACCCCCCAATCCTTCGATGCTGACTCCCACCGAACTTCGGATGTGGCACGACCGGAAGCTCGTTCCCGTCCGTGTCCGGGTGTGCAATCTTCTGAATAAATGGCTTGAACTTCACTGGAAGCCAGAGCAAGATAGCGTTGTCATTCTCAGACTGAAGGACTTTATCCAGGAAAAAATGGTCAGCGCGTCGAACATCAGCGCCCATGTCAAGCGCATCGCTGACGTGTTAGAGAAACGCGAACAAGAGGCCAACGATGTGGCAAATGGACCAAAAGCGCTCAACCGTGCCAAGTCGAACGACCGATTGAAGCCGCGTCAAGTGCCACCTCCTGGTTCAACCTCTAGCGGTGTCCCACCTACACCCGTCATGCATAGGACCCTGCACAATAGTTTGATCAAGACGAACTTCTCGGCGATTTCAATCACCGACTTTGATATCCTTGAGCTTGCGAGGCAGTTGACTCTCATCGAAAGCCGTTTATACTGCGCTATCAAGCCTGAGGAGTTGCTGGCCTCTGGCCAAGCCGGTGTCAGACCGGCCGATTCTGTGAGGGCTGTGACTAGTCTCAGTACTTCTATCACAGGTTGGGTGACGGAATGCATTCTGAACGAGTCCGATACAAAAAAACGTACCGGGTTATTGAAGTATTTCATCAAGCTGGCTGACGTGAGTGGACTAGCGATGTGCTGTAGCGACTCGTCTCAAACATCTCGTCACAGCGTTGTTTAAACCAGCTGAACAACTTCAGTACGTTGCGGGCTGTAATGGCGGCTCTTGACTCGTCAACAATTTCTCGTCTGACGAAAACATGGGCGGTGAGTAGCTTCAAGTGTATTTACATGCGCTCTCAAATACCGATCGCTTTAGGGCTTGTCCTCGCGGTCGAGAACTATGATGGATGCCCTTCGCAGGGTTGTAGATCACTCCCGGAACCACGCCGAGTATCGATCACGGTTACGCGCCCTTACTCCTCCGGTCATTCCTTTTCTCGGTAGGTGCTACCCTCATCTTTTTGATTTCCGTCTTGAGTGTGCCATCTGTATTAGGTATTTATTTAACAGACATTATTTTCTGTCGTGATGGGAACCCCCAGAGCCGTGCTTCCCCCCAGGACCCAAGCCGAACACTGCTCAACTTTCACCGTTACCACCAACTAGCCCGAATTGTTCAGGGTACGTGCACGCTCCATGCCTGGTGCCGACCTTCGCGCGTTTACTACTCCTTATCTATCCAGATATGCAAAGATTCCAGCTTCCATACAATCTGGTCGAAATCCCCGAGGCCCAGAAGTATTTGACTGCTATGTTTGGCGACGTATCCAAGGGTAACGGAACTGATTTGCAAGATTTGTACCGGCGAAGCCTTCTCGTTGAGCCTCGTCAACTTCCAGATCACCAAGAAAAGAGTAAAGATCTTTTTGGGTGGGGGCGTCTGGGTGGATCGTCATGATATATAAGAGTGATTTCGGGGCTTGGTTTCTTTCACATCTTTTTTATGCCACTGCTGTCTGTATCATTATTCTTTCGAGGATGGACATGGTTCTGTAGCTTCTCACTTTCGTCCCTAATTGATCATACCTTTGGGTGTATGTACTACTCTAATGGCTTAATGCATCGGTTGCATGAATAGTCACAGCGAGTTCAAAAACAGGTCCCATTATTGAGCAGAGCAAAACGGGTGCGTACCAATAAATTATGGATACTGATATTAGCGGAGGAAGGGCCAATAAAGCAGTGGAAAACTAATTAGAATATGACTTAGTCTGTGCGTTTTTTAAGCCCCATCTCTATTTCATCAGCCCTTCCCCGTCGATGCTGAGCCCCAGAACCAGAGAACGTCCCTCCCAATTTGACGCCCCGTTTCAGCAGGTGATCGTGGAGACCAAAGGGAATGGTAAATCCAGTGCCCTTCCTGCCACTCTTGTAGCCAGGCCCTTCATAGAAGATAACTTCGTTCGGCGGGTTGAGTCGGGGCCATTGCACGTACTCAACCCCATGGCCGAGAATGTACACCAGCGAAATGGTGATAAAAAGAAACCAGAAAAGGTTGTAATAGTAAAGAGAATACTCTAAGAAAATGACGCAACCCTGAGTTTAGTGCATAGTGAGGGAAAATATGACTGACTCGACTGGCGTGGAAGAATCATGCCTGCGAACACCATGAAGATTGAAAAGAACAAAACGTATGGCATCTGGAACGAAAGAAAAGAAGAGTGAATTGAAATTGAGGACTCTGAATGCACCGACAACTCACGGCTTGGGTGACAAGCGGTCTGCTGTCAGTGACCAGAGCTAAAGCCATGGCAGGCCCTTTTCTCGGAATCCAAGCTCCAGAGAACAAATCGAGGGCATCTTGCCGATGTCCATCGAAGTAATTGTTCTTGAGGTATCGCACAATCGAATTCTGCCCGTCTTGAATCAAACCCTGCTTCGTTCGCTTCCCAGTTCGAGTATAATCGGTCTTCAAAGCGCCAGTGCCACTGTACGCCTTTGAGATGTAATCTGCATGATCGGCCCAAACTGCGGTCGGAGACGACAATGATGAATCGTGTGGGATAGCGGCATGGGAAGATGCACAAAGTACCATTTCTAAAGACCTCCATGAAATCTTCATGATCGTCCAACGACTCTTTCTCGCTTAGAACACCTATCGAGCGTAACTGCATCGTAAGAACCTCCTTCGCAAGAGCCGATTGCACGACGTTGGTCCGGTCCAAACAATCCTGGTTACCCATCATCAGAAAAATCCCTGTCTCCGGAGTTCGGAACGTCATACCATGCAGTTAGTCCTAACGACCCCGTTCTGCTGCCGAACAGGAGCCGAACTCGTATCGCTAACCCGGCAGTAACCAATCTCTTCCAGTTGATCCCGGAGTCTGTCGATGAGCGACTTGATTTTCTCAAACTTCATCCCTTTCGTCTCCGTGGCAAAATCGTAGTACTCGTAGCGGACATCAGGGAGCTTGCTGTCGCTTACGACTCGTTCGTATGCCTCCTTGACAGGTTTTTCATGACCCTTCTGCTTGACGAGATTGAGAAGAAGTTGTTTTCCGTAGACTTGCAGTTGTTCGCGAATGTGAAGCCTAAAGGCGACGAGCTGATTGAAAGGGATGCGTGAGCATGCATTTACAGAGGTGCTAAAAAAAATTCATACAGTGTCACTCTTCTCCATTATCTGCAAGTCGGGCTTGTATCGCAAATTGTTGATTTCCGCCCAATAGAACGGCGCACTCCCTCTGGTCTGCACAAAGCTCATTCGTGTCGTACCCTTCACCTCTGTTAAACCACCGTATCCGTAGGAGCTCCCATTCTGGGACGCAGCATCGTCCTCATCATCAATGAAGATGATTTGCTCGGTCTCATTGTAATTCGCTACGTGGCCTTCTGAGTCAATACCCCGGGTGAAATAACGAGTTCCAGCACGGTAGCGGGATCGGCGGGAGATGAGGACGAAGTTGAAGGGAATACGGCCGATATGTAACTGGCGCATTTCAAAAGCTGACATGGAATGGTAAGAATGATACCCTTGAGTAGAGCGCCACGCACTCACACCCATACATGACAGGAAGGATGAATTGACTCAGCTAGAAGTTGGATTGGGTTAGTTATATCAGAATGCGGAGGGAAAGTATCCACTGACATCTTGCGATGAATTTGAAGTCGTGATGTCGATAAACCGAGACTGGATGTACTTGTTCCAAAAGAAACGATCATCTAACTAATACCAAACTCAACATCATCCCCATGGACCTCATGTTCGCAATAGCTCACTGTCTCCCACAACGCCTTCCCTTCACTGGGCCTCAATGCTTGAGCCTGAAGTGAACGTGTCAAGTCCCATCCGTAGCTAAACCACAACACACTGGCGGAAAGATGATTTTCCACCAAGCCAACGAGGTGTCGCTCGACGGGATGCGAGATAAGAGTGTTGGCACTGGGTGTGGCAATCGGCAGAACGCGGAATTCGGTGGCAAGGTAAATGGTATGGCCATTCATCCTACCCCTGGCGGGAGAACGGCCGGTTATTAAGACCAGATAGTCCGCTGGGATGAAAGATCTTCAGAACGAGAGAGAAAAGGGGACAAGAAGTTAATGAGTACTGGTTGTAAGGGGCAATATCCCCATGATTCCGTAAACGGTGAGCGCATGGAAAGACTTGGAAGGTGTAGACACGCTGGAATCTGTGTGGGATAAGTTAAGTCAAAAAGAAACACACAGACGTATGTATTCCACTTACCACTTAGCGTGATCTCAGCAGAGTGCCTTGATATTACAAGCGACTTGCTGAACGTGTCAGCATTTCCATTGGAATCCGTAGGCTCGAACAAGTATACGTCTGGAGTAATGTATCTGGAAATCGAGATTCAGGATGTGTTCATTACGATACACCGACATTCTTACAAATTAAACGATTGATGAAGAGCCTTGGAGGACGCCATTACAATTGCGGAAGGAGTGAGGAATCCGTGCCCCGACCACACGCCAAGTGGCAAAAACAGCACTCCGGTGTCAACATATGTCAATAAGTGTTGGGCCTAATATTATTATTCAACTCGTCTGAGCAACGCCCACCGATTAGTTCAGCATGAGCGATTAATGGGCATGGTTTGGATGAGCTTCCCCCAAACATCGACACTCGTCGCTTTGCCCGTAGCCGCCTTAAGATATAGCAATCCAGAATTCGGAAAGCACCGCATCCCATTCGATCTGCGAAGTCGAGTGTCGCTCAGTGGGTACCATGGTAGTCTGATCAGCTGAGTGCTGTGGTTTTTTCTCTTTTTTCTTTCCCTACTTTTAGAGGCTGGGATCTTGCCACAATTTGGCCTGCCTCAACTGAATGATTAACCTTTAGGGTTCCATTTCCAGCCAGTCGGCTTTTGATGGTCAACGCGCTTCATCTCAGGTCAATTCCACCACCGACCGCCCCTGTCCTTCCTCATCTACGGTGTGTGGTTACGGGTCGCGTGCCATTGCCCTTGCCAGTCGTTGTCTATTCCAATAGAGGCTGGTAACCTGCTTACAGGAGTCGTTGGCCGTCATGGCCGGCCTTCGCCATCAACCCAGTGCGGATTAGCATATATTTGCATACGGTTATATTTTGAAAGCTCTGGAGGCTGGTATCCTGCCTAATTCAGCACTACACGTCATTCCACCACTCCAGCATGCTAGTTCTGAAATAATACATGTTTATTCCCGCTACTCTACAGCGGGTCCTGTAAATTTAGGCCCCACGCTGTGCACTGGGTCCTCTGTAACCAAAGGTCCTCTTTTCCCATTACTAGAGTGCTTGCGCTTCGCACTTCACTTGACTCTGCACAGCCCTTGTTTCCTTTCACCTGTCCCAGCATGAACCTATTTCTATTTTTTTTTTCAGTTTGTTTCGCAAATATAAGTACAAGTAGGCTATAAAGGCATGTGTTTAATTGGAATGCAGACATCTGACAAACACAATCCAATTTTTCCAGTCATTCGGAGTCTGGAATCATTTAAAGGCAAAGTGAAAAAGAAGGTGGTATGGCGACAAATCACAGTGGAACCAGCATATGCCTTCACGGACTACCGTGCGCAAGGACAGACGATGGAATACCTGTAGTCAGACATAGGAACATCACCAAGGGGCACATTGACACCTTTTAATGCATGGGTGACATTGTCACGTGCAAGAGGAAGAAAATGCATATGGTTGAACCGAGATTTTAAGGACAAGAGCCGAGTGGGAGCGGAAGGAAAGTAAAAGAAGAGAAGGGACAGGATGACGTAAAAGAAAGCATGTAAAGAAAAGGAAACAACCCAAAAGGGAAGATGATGACAAATTTTCAGCGTCGCCAATTGCGTAATATCGGGAGTGGTTAGTGACTCTGTGTGCAGAGTAATGTCACGGAAAAATAATTCGAAAAAATTGAATGGCTATCCAAAAAAAGTCACGTTATTGTGTGCGCGTGACTCGCACAGCCTTTTCGGAAAAGGTTGCGCCGACTCTTGTGCCTAATGGCACTCACTTCACTGCCTATGCTTTTCTCAACAGCGCTCCGGAAATGAACAATAGTCGCCTTCACAGCGGCTTCCTCATTGATGCGCCCGCTGTTCATTTGGCATCTCCACCGGTACCATGCTGCTCCACTTACGGGCCAGGTTCGGATGTCGCTGTATTAGATTCGGTTTCTTCGTACCTAAGACCAGTACCATTCCTCCTCCTTCCATTGGCGATCTTCTCTTCCGTCAAGGTTCCTTCCTCCCGCGAGTCGTCAGTGGGGAGTTCGTCGCCACCCCCAAGGTGGACAGGGTGGAAGCATCGATGAACTCTTTTTTCTTTCACGGACAATTCGAGGGATGAAGGATCCTCGTATGAAGAGTACGGAAGGGGGGAGGAATCGAACTGGTCTTCAGGACGAAGAAGGCGAACTTCACAGCGAGTGTGCATCTGCGGCATCAGAACCTGGCTTGGGAGGCCAATGCTGCGGCAGCGGTGGGGAAACCAGAAGAGAAACTAGACACACCAATTAAGATGTCACTGTGCGAACGATTGTTGTTTATTTCTGGAGTCGAATTTAGAAAAGCACACCCTGTGAAGTGCGAACGCAACGTATTGTTGAGCGCCATGAGAGGATCCGAGAGGGGGGCGAGAAGTAGAAGGAAAGGCAGCTGAGCAAATGAAGCGACTTACATGAGCGCCAAACTTGAGATGAGACGGATGTCAAGAGCGGCGGAAGATGGAGCGATACATACAGAAGCATTTCCATACTCAACTGATCGATAATTGGCAGCCTGCGTGCCGTCGGAATCGAGGGTGATGCAGTTCCCGATGAAAATGTGAGAGCGAACGCTTGGTGGTAACCTGGGTTTGAATGGAAGCCAATGACAGAAGGAGAGACTGTGAGGCATGATAGTTGGGGAAGTGGACGGACGTTGAGACGCGTGGCCGCCCAGTAGGTAGTTGCGGCGGATGTGAAGGGAGTGAAGGCTATCTCAGTTGGGTCGAAATGGAAGTGAATGACGGAGGAAGACCCGGGGGGTCTGCCACTTGGACTGAGAGTGCACCCAAACGGTGAGAGCAAGGCTTGAGGTGGACGCTACCGATGTTGAACGCATCCCGTCAGTGACACGAACACTTTTTTCGACTCCACGGGTATGTGTACCGCTGCGGGCGATCACTGGTTCACGCTTGCCACTGGCGTATACCAGGCTGCAGTGCGTTCCTTTCACCCACAACTCCGCTCACTACCTACACCCCAAATCGGTCTCCCGTCGGGATTCTCATCCCGTCCACGAGTCGCTGGAAGAACTTCTACTGCCCACCTATTGCGGGACCGGTACAGGTCCTACTTTAGTAGAGGCTGGGATCCTGCCTAGTACAGGTCACCGCACGATTTCACGACGTACACGACAACGTGGCCCGTTTTGAGTTGGAAGATGTCGGGTACGTACTTACGCTTCCACTTCTACCGCCACTGCACCTCCCAAAAAGGTGCCTTTTCAATCGACAGCCCTTCAGTGCTCTTGATGACGTCAACAGTACTTCTGTGCTTAGTCCCAAGGATTCTGAAAACGACACAAGGACGACGCCGAGAGTAGCAACAAACCCTGTGGTTACGAATGTGACTTCAAATGTTCAGAGTCCGTCTCAGTGCTGTCGTACTCTTTCTTCGTGTACATAACGTTGCTCCGCCCAAATTCAAGTCATGGTTAGTGGATTGGATCCAGAATATATTGTTATGAAGTCATAGGGGCCGGAGTCCTGCCTAGGATCCAGACTGGTCACTACTGTTACGGGCCGAGACTATCAGGAATACGCTGCTCATTTGCCTAGCAATGCAAGGAAGCCGGGGGGTGACCGAAGTTCCCATGCCTTGTATATTGCGTACATAACTGTTATGCGCACAATACAAATGAAATTGGTCGGAAGGTAGCGAATGTGCAATGCCCAGCTCGTTGGACACCAATACTTCGACCAGCAGCCCCCAAGCCAATGTTACGGCCGATTCAGCGCAATCACACGTTCTCTAATGGCCGCCGGTCCAAATGTGGGAGCTCGGGCATCCGCCGCACCACCCTCCCCTCATTCCTGGCGTGGACACGCAGCTTTTCGAGAATCCTAGTACCAGCCCATCGTGACGGAGGTGGCTTCTTGTCAATCGACCAATAATAGATGTCCCAGTCAGGTTCATCCATGAGCTAGGTGGTAACGGTAGAGCGTGAGCCCCTTACAGAGGAGAGTAGTGGGGTATACGCTCACTTTATCAAATTCCTCGAGTTCGGCGCGAGTCATAGTGGTAATGTGCTCTTTAGCGAATGTGCTGAGCAATAAGTCATTTTCCAGAGTCCCTCGCTTCCTGGATTGATAGTTGAGGCGCGCTCTCAGAGAATCGAGTGACTCGTTGGGCCGGGGGATAGGGTGAGGCAAAAGACTCTCATCAATTTGATCTGTCTGAATGAACTTATCCGAAGAAAGCGGTAGAGGAAACGGGTCTCGAAAATCCTTCTCAAAATTTTGACACGAGAACGAGAGGCTTCGATGACCGCCTAGGACAGGCATCCGAACAAGTCGCGCGAGCCTCTGTGTCGACATTACGATCGTGTGCAAGAGCGGGAATACATGATGGAATTCCCACAATCACGCGTGCAAGACCGGAACATTTTTGGCCTAGACTGAAGAGCCATGAACACACCTCAATCGATGGTACGCAAGTATAGAGACCTGCTATATTATCCATGACTACAAATTTATTCACCTAGGCAATAGGGTGGGGTACCCTCTTGATTGCCGGTGTTGGTTCTTTCTACTTTGCAAAGAAAGAAATAGACGAGCGCCGCAGGTTGCAAAGAGACGCAGGTGTCCGGCCCACAGAGAAAAAACAGTGTTCGCTGCATTTCTTCGTTGATTCCCTCACTTATGCAACGGAGTAATGTTCTGATGTAGGGTATGAGAGGTTAGATGACCCTCCAGCGGAGCCGGCCACCCCAAAATCCAGTAACGCGACAAATCCACCGCCCAACGGATCTGCTTCAATAAAATAGCGAACCCCATTAACCCTGTCATGATTACAAAGGCTATACATTGACTACTTTTACTGCCGCCTCAATCTCAGCGCCTTGGCTTGATCCATCATATATGCAATTGATGATCTATTACTATCACACCTGTAAGTCGAATCAGCTAACCCGACCCCCGGACGTCAGCGGAGTGATGTATACAAACTTACAATGCTGCAATATTCTTCTGATAATCCATGACGCTCTTCTGAACCGCCCTGAGAACGCCGGCGTGCTCCAACGAATGCTCCCTCAGGAACCGCCCATGAATGCCTAGCAGTGCATTGATCCACAGCAAGTCAAACTCCATGTGCGGACTCCTTTCCGCATGCGAAGCAACGAAAGAAAGCAGGTTTGGGACATATATACGTGGGAGCTGGCGCACTAGAAGCGCAATATCCTCTGAAGGGATAGCCTCGTACACCCGCTCAATGAGGGACTTTTCATTTAGCCGGAAAGCCATAACGAGTGCCTTGAGATGTTCTTTCTGGCTGAGAACTTCCAAGATGTTTTGGGGTGTGATGTCAATGTCAAGGTCGAGAGGTTCGAACACGATCCCCTCGTCAAGAGAGTAGATGAGTAATCCTTCTGTGGATGCAGCTGCCCATGATCCCCCAGTAGGGGAGAAGCGTATGCATTTTGTTCGTATATCCTGTCTGTATCGCCGTTTTGAGAGATCACCCCGCTGTGCGCCAGGCAAGGTGGGGTTACGACGATCCTCTAGGTCACTTTCGTCCCCTCGATCGTACATCAGGTCGCCGCCCTCTTTCTTCATCCGCCGATAGTCCAGAAAATCCTGCGCTCCATCGAGGGAAAGGTTCTCTGAGATTTGGAACTTCTTGAGCATGACTCCCTCTTGTACATTGTACATGACCACATATTTACTGTTCCCCCCCGCAATGACGCATGATCCATCCACAGTGTATGCTACACTGGTGAAGTACTTGTTAACGGAATTATTCGCTGCCGTGATGCGATCGTCCTGCATTCTCCCACCAGAGATGTCACGCCGTCCTTCTATCAAACCGGTTTGTCTGCCATCTACAGTCTCCCAGAACGTAATTTGGCCATCGAGGGTGGCAGCAGCAATCTCCAAACCATCAGGTCTGAAAGCGACGCAGAGTACGTCTGCGTTGAGCAGGAAAGGCTGGACATTACGGGTTCGGGTAAAGACATTCCACAGGCGAACCGTCTTATCCCACGAGCCACTCACAAGATAGTTGCCTGTTGGTGCAAATGCAAGTGCATTGACAGGGGCCTCGTGACCTGTCAACACATCGAGTAACTTGCCTGTCTGGACGGACCACATGAACACCTCGAAGCTGTCAGCCGAACCAGCCACGACGACCTCGCCGGAGGGGTCAACAGCCAAACTGGAAAATTGGACCGGAGTAGGAGAGGTAAAGGTGCGAAAATTGCGATATCGAATGAGGTCGAATGCGCGAACAGTGCCATCTAAGGAAGCAGTGAACAGAACCTGACCCTGTTTTGCAAATTCGACAGAAGAAATAGAGGAGGCGTGATCGGAAAAGGTGACAAAGCAGAAACCCGAGTTCACATTCCATATCTTGACTTTGCCATCGTCGCCTCCCGTTGCAATGTGCTGGCCGTCACTTGAGAAGGAGAGTGTATTCATGTCAAAATAATGACCCTGCTGTTTGAGTATGTAGGATTCGGACTGCCATTCCCACACCAGCAGTTGACCAAGCTTTGTGGCCCCCAAAGCGAGCCATTCACCGGAAGGATTTATCGTTAATGACGAGATTTTGTCCTGGGATATGCTGAGGGTGTGAATATTGGTGAAGGATGGCATTTCCCAGAGGCCAAAGACACCCGAAGAAAAGCCTGCCACAAGCATGTTGGTGCGTTTGTGATATGCAGTGGAAACTACCTTGGCTAAGTCGAACCAATATCTCTCGCTCAATCTCCACCGGTTTTTGAGTAAGAAATCCTCGTCTTCAGGGTCCGGGATTTCCAGGGTTTCCCCATCTTCATCATCGTACTTTCCTCTCCACACAACCACCGCGCCATCGCGGGTAATTGTGTAAATCTAATTGTAGATATGGGAAGTCGTGGCTATGGATCCATTGTGCATTCTCCATACCTCTTTGTTGCCATTAGCAAAGTACGCGCTCACAACTGCATCGCGATGGCTCGAGAGCATTTTCGGGTACAAGCTCTGATTGAACTCTAAGGGATGAATTCGTGCAGTCATATCCCTTGAAGCCGATAAAAGGAATCTGACATGATATGGAAATTAGCATGTGCAAATCACAGGCAAGGCCGAATTGGAGAGGAGTGACCTCGAGTCATCTGACCAAGTTATGCTCAGTACGTCGTCGTTATGTTCCCTGTACGTGTGGTGTAGCTCGAAAGGTGCGAATTCGCGGACGAAGAGATTAGGAGTCTTCCAAACTTGGACATGTGCGCCGTGGGTGACGGCAAAGTACCTTAGATTAGAAGCATACCACCCAGTCTGACATTTTGATTTAATCCGCGAAAAGATACATACTTTCCATCGGGTGAGAATGCAACGCACTTGACAGGCTTTTTGAGGTTTATGCGATGAAGTACAACAGCCTTCTTGACATTGACGAAAATTGCTTTCCCGACTATAGCATGCTGTCAGTAACTAAGCGAACTTTGCATTGAAAGAGTCTCACTCTCATCCACACTTATGAGGGTTTTGCCATCGGGGCTCAAAGCAATTGCGGCAATGTCCCTTTGATTTTGGAATGGAAACGTAAATGATTTGTTGCTGTTGGAGGCATCATTACTTAACAGCTCAACCGAGGGGTGGATCGGTGTGCTCACTTCACCAAATCAAATACTGAAATACGATTGCCCACGGCGCTGAACACAGAGTTTCCATCTGGTGTGAATACGATGTTTCCTTGTTTGTATACAGAACCACAGAGATTCAGAAACTAATAGAACCATGCTTTGACTGTGAACTGGAGCAAGGAAACACAAATGCCAACCTTGAAGCTGGCCTTCATGGAAGTTTTTCTTTGGGACGGTGGCCGGCTTTGGCCGAGTGTCACTTTTGGTTCCGCCACCGATTCCAAACCAAGGCCCCCTACATTGTTTCGCACACACTCTCGCATTAAGCGTATAGTTTTTCCCCGCATCTTCACCAATGATAACTCGCATGTCTCGATCTACCATTACATCACCCACGACTCTCAATTTCATGGGGATCGGACTCTCGCACGTCGATGGCAAGCCATCACCGTCTCCGGCAGGTACACTTTGCTCATAATCGCGCCCTTTAAATGCAGGAGCGCGCCAAGTAATAGCCTGCCTTAAGCCGTCTGTAAAACGTCTTATTCTTAGCCATAATGACATTGGAGACTATGGTTCCATTGCTCTATTGGAGTATCTGTGCTCAGATGCTGGAAGGAGAATCGAGCTCCTCTATTTAGATTTCAATGGAACCGGTCTTGGAGACATTGGTAAGGGAAAATCTCGCACTCATGGGCTCCAGTACTTAGACAGGAGCCTTCAGGCCTTCGAGCTGTGTCGTCATATATCCGTGGGAACCCCACGCTCGAGGTCCTTCACCTGCAAAATGTAAGGCTAGGATTCAGGCGCAACGTACGTGTTAGTGGATCTCACTATCTAGAATTTAGAACCAATTTACTGGCAGCCAAGATGTAATCGCTGACTTCACAGAGGCGTTAAATGAGTCCCGAGTCTCAGGCCTGTCGTTGGCGGGGAATCCTTCATTATCAGACAACCTTTCGAAAGCGTTATTTCCTAACCTCACTACCCCACATCTTCGAACACTGGACATATCTCTCGTTAGTCTTACTTCAGACTCTGCCCCTTTCATCATTAATTACATTCAATCACCTCGTTCCCGGCATCTTCGGGAATTAAGATGCAATGGTAATCGACTTGGTCCATCCCTCCGGAATATCGTTCGAGCAATAAGGGATCAGAATTTCTCGCTTGAAAGGCTAGAATTCTTCGCCAATTCTGGCGCCGGCGTTCCGCTAGCAAACGGTGACGATCGCCCATCGGATGAAGAAGGGGATGATCCAGATTTGTATCCATTGACAGCAATGTGGGCAACTTTGAAACGATGTCGAGAGAGAAATACATTTCTCCGCTCAACAACAGAAACCGAGGCGCTGCGATTGCTCGTTGTCACGCGATGTATGTTGTTCGGGTCCCACAGGACACGAGGTACAGTCCATTACGATTCTTACTCAAGAGGATACCGATCATTCCCTAGAACAAGTTCGTACGGTTACTTGGGGTGATCTTCCCGCAGAGCTTAAGCTTGAGATACTCTCCTATATTGCCCCAAATCTCTCGCCATCTCAACGTATCCATGTCACATCATATGCAGCCGACGCCACTACACTTCCACCGCTTGATAGGTTGCCAACCCCTGGCAAAGCACGACCGTCCAAGGATGCCACACGGTCCTCATGGCTTCATAGGATGGAATCTGACCATTTTGATGTAACGAATGATACATTAGTAAGGTATAACCATTAGGATGCAATGACTGGGTGTGCTATGGTTTGTGTCCAAAGTTTTCATGCAAACAAGAGCCTGGCTAATATTCAAAGATTACTGTTTGGTGGACGACGAATCGAACCTCTTCAACAATTTCCTCGCCTCGCTGCTGGCACGCCGAACGGGACTAGATATATACCCGCTATCACCTTCCTTAATGTCACCCTCATTACCAGACGGTGGATTACTTGTTGTATCTAATGTTGGGATTGCATCCTTACGCCGACGTCCTAGCACATTCCAGTTACCGGTGAGAGTTGCTAAGACGGCACCGCCGACGCTAGGAGGACCACTGGTGTAAGTTGTGGTCGTGGGTAATGCCTTCGCTGACATGGTCCTCTTCCGATTGCGACTCAACAATAAATTTGGTGCACCATCAGATGCAGAGTCACCAGCTGGGGTGTTGGCCCCGCTCCCATCGCCCATTTGATCACTTCGAGGGGCGTCGCCGGGCGGGGAAGGAGGGGAGAAGGGTGAAACTAGCGGGGAGGCAACGCGTTTGGGCGAAGAGTGGTTTTGTGCATTAGTAGAAATAGCGATTGTTGGTGCACCTTTCGTGGAGGATTTGGAGGACGACTTCGCAAAATGCGTGGGAAGACCCGAAACGCTAGAGGACGCATTGGATCGAGTAGGGGAAGGCCGAGTTCGGTTGCTCGTGATTGCGGGTTTCATAAGGGAATGAGAATGACCGGACAGAGTTCGACTTCGTGCTGGAAAAGACGTCAGAGGTGGGGGAGAAGGTTGGGGAGAGGAGTCCGGCGGTGAATTCACTGCATCCGGAGAAGTTGCTTGCGCAAGCAACTTGGACAGCGATGATGGCCCACTGACTGGGCTGGCGGCGATTCTCGGCGGAAGAATTTTAGGATGCGGCGGTGACACGATTGGCGCAGGATTAAGCATTGCCTCCTGCAGAGGAGAAGGGTCAGCTAGGGGAGATGGAGGGTTGGGAGCACTTCGGGAAGCGTTGCGGTTGCGACCTTCGCTTTTCATCTTCTCGTTAGCCTCATTGGCCGACGCCGGGAACGGCGTTGATACTGCGCGGCGCTGAGAATGGTTAGGCTGGGCGTACTCCTCTACTTCGAGCATGAAATACTTGACCCCGTTTGCCAGCCTAGAACAAACTGTTAACTCCAATATCACTCTAGTTACAATGCCGAGACATACCCATAAGGGTTTGACAATGGGTTCTGAATCGAAGCGATCAGAACAGCAGAACACCGTAGGAACGTAACACACCTTGCTATCCACGATCGCTTCCGTAATGGATATAATACGAGCCACGTACCACTCTCTATTCTCCAGCTGGGCAGAAATTTGGGGGGACGGTTTGAGGAAATAATGCGGAAACGAAACTGCATCACCGCCATTAGTGACAAGTGGGCGCAATGGCCTGGCATACACACCATTAAAGGCGGCCCATGGTCGAGAAACCGAGTTCCGCGTGGGCAGGAATAATGCTAAATCCCCTTTTCCAAAATTGCGGAACGATATCTTTCCCCGTGCTCTCTCACGGTATTCTTTACACTGTTTTTGCCATTTCCTGATAGTGCTGCCTGCTTTGACGATTGTCTCGTTGAAGACTTCCAGATCGAATTGCTTTAGAATCTCGATGGAAGCAGTAGGGTCGGACCAGTCGATTGGGGACGCATATGCATTGAAAGGATCCAGTCCAAACGCATCAGCATTTTGACCTTTAGTGTTGAGACTAATAGTGGATTCTGCAAGTGCCGCGTGACGAGCAGACGCCTTCGACGCATGAGCCAAAGTTTTCTGTGTTGAGGCAAGGAGCTGAGCATTTGTGTCACGGAATGACACCGCGATCTCAAGCAGATCAGACAACATATGATTCGCAGCAGTCCGGCGGCGAGTTTGATCCTCGGCAACTTCCCTCAGTTGAGCCATCTCGTCGCGAAGGGATGCCTGAACCTGAAGCGCATCGTTAAGAGCATAGTTTGCTCTCTCCAGCTCTTCCTGCAGACCAGCGACATCCGCCCGACTAACGTCAAGTTCCATCAGAACTTCTTTCAACTCATTCTCCCTACTTTCTAGAGTTGCTTGTAGTTCTGAGAACTGATGCTCGAGGACAGCACGATCACCATCAGCTTCGGCGATATGATCCCTCAGTAACCGATCCGCTTCCATAGTCTGAGCTCTGAGGAGACGATCTTTCTCCGCGGTCGCCTCGTTCAGCGCGCGGAACGCCTCGTCCCCTTCAGCACGTGCGAACCGGACCTGTTCCTCCAAGTCTTCCCCTTTTAACCGCGCCTCTTCAAGGTTCTTCAATGTCTCGACCTGCTCCGCCAAGACCAGTTTCAGGCGTTCGTCGCCGCCCATCTGCACCCTTCGCATTTCCTCAGCCGCTGCACGAACCTGCTCAAGCTCCTTGGAAAGCAGGTCGACCTCTTTTGCTTTCTGCGTAGCGTCAGCAAGTGCACCGGAAAGCTTCTTGGCCTGCTCCTCCGAAGAATTGACAAGCTCAGCATGACGCGCTTCCAAGGTGTTGCGGGCTTGAGACTCGCATTCGTGCAGCTTCTGGACGGAATCAATTTCTGCCTCCAGTTCTGCGATGCGCTCTTGGTTCTGACGGTCAATGATGTCGCGTTCGCTTTGCAGTCGACGGAGGGATGATGCAGCAGCCTCCCTCTCCTCAACCAGTGCTTGATCTGATACGAATTTAGCTTCCTGGAGTTCTCGTAGTTGCTCGAATGCTTCCGACGCGTCACTGGCAGCTGAAACACAGGTGCAAGTCAGTATAGTAAAGAGCGATGACTAAAAGATGGACTCACTTCTCCGTTTTGAAAGAACCAATCTATCCGTTGTGAGAACTGATCTCTCGATCAGTTTGTCGAATTCCGCCCCAAGATTCTCCATGCGTGAAATCAACTTTTCCAATGCTGCCCGCGTTTCCCTCAAAGGATGGCCAACGGGCTGGTCCGCAGCACCTTCATTCGGCGACGATGAACCATATATCTCCTGAATGGGAGTCGATCGCTCGATCTGGCTGATGGTCTCTAAGAATACTGAAGGGATGATTGTATGTCAGGTTTGCGCTGAAAACAGTGGAGCGTCACCACGTACTCGTGAGATCTTCACGCGTCAGCGAAAAGACATTCTCGGTGTGACCAGTAGTAGTGACCTCCATAATGGGGGTCGGCTCGTCCATACCCTTAGACTCAAAGGGAAGCTGTCCATGTACGTCGCCGCGGTACAGCTGCCGCCGTTTGCGTTCATTCGAGCTATATAAATATATTAAGAAATCCCTTAACATGATTCTGGGATGAGCTTACGTCAACCTAGCCATAACCTCGGCTATTGCTCGCGCTCGTTCTGCAAAAAATTTACCTGGGTGTTGCAAACATCATTCGCTATTCTCCCCTCACCAACATAGATCATCACGTACTAAACTCCTTTCTCCGGACAATTTCAACTAACGTTGCACCATATACATATAGCATTTGGTGCAATCGTTGCAGATGTACGAAGCCTCCCTTTCCTCGTAGTTCTGTCTCCAGGTTCGTGAGAGTCGCTGGGAGTTCAGCGAGGGTGGACTGAAGGAAGGAAACTTGACGGAGTACAGTGAGAATATGTGCCACAGATTGGTTCTGAAGCGATGTTCACTAGGGATGGACATTTGCAAGAAAGGGGCACATACGTAGATGGTATTAATTTGTTCGATGATGGAACGAATCGAAATCTCCAATGACGTCAATTGGTTAACCATCGAGCTGGACATAGGATCATTGCCTTGATGACCATTAGAACAGCAGTACAAAGGGAAACGGGAACGCGGCAACTGACTCAAGAGGGAGGAATGCAATTCTCGTAGCCGCGCTAAATTATGGGTTGCACGTTGGTGTGACGGCTCTGCCTGTTCACAGCTGGAATCGAGCACGTCAATTCACAAAACACCCCATTGGACAAATACCTACAAAGTGCGGGAAACCATGGCTCGAATCTCATCGGCGCCAGAAGTGAGTGCACGCATAGATTGTTGAGCGTTGAAGAGTCTCGTAGAGAGATCCTCTGCAATCGGAATGAGCAGATGCAGGTTGATGCAATGAGCCTAAATCACCGTGAATCTTCGCGCAAGAATCCGCAACAATTCTCATCTTGACGTTTGAGACGTAGTCCCCTAGCATCCTTTCTTTTAGCCCTGCCTCTACATCCCTGCGCACAGCAGGGGAAAGGAATTCGGGGTGAACGCGAATTTTAGAGATGACTTCGAGATCAAAATTGTGATTACGCAAGAGTTCAGCTTGTCGGTCCAACTCTTTGGTTGCAATAGTATCAAAATTTTCAAACACTCCCGAAAGGGAGAAAACGTGTGAGTCTAGGTTGGCCGAGGCCACCTTCAGTGCATCGACCTGGTTCGAGAGCTGAGATAGGATAGCGGGAATGTAATTTAGGTGTTCCTCGGCAGACTTCAGGATGACATCGGGGGAAGGGAATCCTGTGTTGTGTGCAAGTTCAGAGGGTTAGATACTCAGAGAATCAAGACTGAAGGCAAGCCAGTGGTACCTTGAAGGGGTGGCTTGATAGCAAGGGGTATCTGGAGCTCATGAATGACCTCTGACAGCTCGGTATCTAAAAATAAGTACTCTCTGTTAAAAACATAAATTGTCTGAGAGCCATAGGTGTCAGTCACCAGTCGCATTCATAAATACCAGGGGCAAGCATTGGATCGGAACTCACATCGTCCTGTGCACCAGCGAGCTGTCGGATATTCTCATCCCTCAGCTGTTTCCCGTCAGAAAGAAAGCATATTAAAGAAGGTGCATCGACTCCGGTTATCTCTGAGAGGAAAGATTTGAGATTGCCATTGCTGGACAAATCATCGCAACGAGTCTGAAATGAGCCATACAAAGCATCGATAACACAGGGCGCTTACATAGAGATGTCATATAATGTGGTCTGAACTTCGAACTGGCGACCATCCTCCGCAGTGCATATTAGCATACTCAAGCGTGATGGAGGTAACCCCTTCCAGGAGGTGCGTGCGACGCGTTTGGCTCAACTGACGGAATCAAAAACAATATCTCAATTGCATGTGCATCCCAGATGAATTGGAAAACACAACATGGTTAAGAAGAGTGTCCTTGGTTAAGTCCTCGTACATATTATATAAAGAGCTAGATATTATCTCCATGTGAGACCAGCCCCGTCACTTCCCAGCGATCGTACATAGGGATCACCTCGAAATCAAACGGGAGTTGTAGGCGTTTGGGACAAACAATGATTTCTTTAGACGTCTGAACCCTACAAAAATAATTGAGAAGCACAGGAATGTCCAGAGGTAGTTCCCTATCAAATGAGCACCGCTTGAATTCCAGGAGATCTAATTTCCGTCTTTGCGGTCTTTGCGAAATTGGAGCATCGCAGGCCCTATCTTCTGTATAATGTTTCGCGATGCGGAGAATCTGCCAATCAGTGATCATGAAGAAATCCTTGAGCTGAAGGCGCCGTAGAGGAATGATGTTTCCGAACGACGACACGAGCAAATCCGAAAGCTCGCTTGTAGTAAATTGTTGCATCCCATTGTCGATGGCAATATTTTCAAGTTTAGGGGAGCGTACAAGTATATCATAGAGGAGTTTAAGAGGCGAATTTCCCAGATCGATCGAATGTAGATTGGGATATCGGGGGTCGAGAAATGGGACAACGGCGCCTGGATATTTGATATTGTGCGGAAATATTGATTCTGGGGAATGCGACACAGGGGCATTGTCGGGGGACGCATCAACGCCATATAGCTTCAATCCTTCAGGTGGTTCGTCCTCACGGTAATCGACAGTTAAACCAAGTAGCTCGATTCCAGGCAGGGAGATATGCCCCATCACAACGGTCAGCGAATGGAAGGATCTGAACCAAAGGTACAGACGCTTTAATCGCCGCATTAAATATGGTTGTCCGGTAAATTCGTGGCCCTGGCGCGCAGGGACAATACTAGTCAAACCAGCGACGTCCAGCCTTTCGATGAGCGGATTATGCTCGAGTATTAGGAAGAAGCTAGGGACGGTCACGCCATGAATCGTCCAGTCCCTTGGAGCCCAATGGAGAGATGTAAGATTCCGAAATTCGGGAATAATGAAATGTCTTGCATTGTAAAGTCGCAGATTGCGGATGTTTGACCATGAGCCGCCAAATATGGTTAGGGGGCAGCTCGGGGTCTTGTGCTTCGAGCGAGACCCAAGAACTCCGAGGGAAAAGTTCCTCAACCTTGGCTGCATAGGAAGCATAGCCAGGTTGGCGACGACTTCCTGAGCATCGTCGACGTGGATATAATCAAGCAGGAGGGAGGAACAACGGTGGATGTGGCGCTTGATGAGACGAACAAGCTTCTTCATCGTTTTTCTTGGGATGTTGCATTCGCACACTTGGTGCGCCTCGTCGTCCGATGGGTCAAATACATGACCGTCGCTTGTTACGCGGAGCGAAATATCGATTAGGGATGATTTCGACCGCTGTATCCACACATTACAGGCAACCCAACTCATTTCCCGGTGGATCCCAATAGGGACGGATATTTGTCGCCACATGGACGCATTGTCCAGCAATATCGATCTCCAACGCCTGGACACGTGAGATAGGGTCAACAGACGTTTCCAATCATCCGACTCCCCAGTCCGAGTCGCAAATTCGAATACATAAAGGATTAACTCCACAGCAAGCACCTCATGCATGGATTTATCAACCGAATTGCTCATCAAGATGAATCTGGGCTGAAGTCCCCGCTCCTGGGCGATGTAGGCAGGCTGCCTCGTGCATGCTCAGCATTTGTCATGTGGCAGTGCAGGGCCTCGCACTTTGAGCGCTTAAAAGACCAACGCCCTAAAGCGGGAATGACCACAAGACCCACAACTGTCGAGAGACAGCTCATGATTGGACCTGCCTCTTTTTTTATTTCCCATTTGTTTCCTTACATGACACCCTACCCCCGAAACCACAATCCCGAGGACCCATATCACCCGACATCACCCTTTATTTTATTTCTGTTTCGATGATTCCTACATGTAAATTCGATGTAGATTACAATAGGGGTGCCCTGTTGCATGACCGCGGGGTAACCATCGTCATCATCATCATCACCAACGCCCTAAAGCGCAAGCTGGAGTTCCCGCCACTGTCAATCGTTCTCAAGGACGTCTAATCATCCATTATTAAACTGTCATATCTGTTGTATTACTATGATACTTTTCAACCGCCATAACAACACCAACGCATGGCATCCCACAAGTCCCACTTGTCGGTCCTTGACATGTCAATGCTGTAGTATAAATACTATGTAAATATCTTTTCTGGCTTCTCGTCATCCTCTTGAGTATGGCCGCTGAGCGCTTCGACAACTCAATGCAACAACATCAGCAATAGGGGAAATTCACTCTACACAGCACCCCGGGTCCTGATAAGGCTCATATCAGCTTAGAGACGTGGGATACAAGGTTTGTGTTCAAATATGTACCAAGAAGTGACAATTGATCGTGCATTGATACAGAGGAAAAATGATGACGGAGACAAACTGTGACGTCTGCACAACAGAATACTAGTGTGGAAAGTCTGTACCACCCGGGAACCAGATTTACCAAACTTCAAGTGCGCCCTGAACAGCACCATGACATTTGTCAAGTTCCTCTGTGAAGGTTTACGGAGACACACATGACAAAAAATCAGCACGATGAACAAGCGAACACGCAAATCTTTCATCTTACGTTCAAATACAGCAGCTATAGGCCACATCCTCTTCAAGCGCTGCAACACCATTTTGCTCGTCCCGAAATTGCTCTCGGCGGCCATGGCCTGCCACCTGGTCCCTGCCGTCGCCACCTCTAAAGCCGCACCGAAAGCGGCGACTACTTGCGAACAGCCGCAAAATGGTGAATGCCGAAGGATATCTTCTTGAACCATGATCGAAGATCCACTCGACGGCAATGATAGGTTACCTCGTGAAGCTGAGCACGAAAGAACGGCGGCGTCCGCCAGCTGGGAGAGATCAGGGTTTGAGGAAGATGAAACAGGGGACTCTGGGACTGTTTGCAGGAGGTTCGCTTTGTGTGAAGAACGCATCAGAGACATGAGAGACCTTGAAGCAGAAACGATTTTGGAACGCGAAGGCGCGAAGATCGATTCACGATACTCGTCACTGGATTGATGTATGTCGCCTACCAAAGATGCAGTCGTTATGCGACAGACCTTCATGTCGAAGTTTACCTCTGGCATCGCGTAGAGGTGGTGAAGATGGACACTAGAGCTGAATGGTTAATCTGAATTCAGCGAGTCTTCCCTCCAGCATCTGATCCAAGCAACTTACGCGTGAAGCATAAGAATCGTCATATGGAAAATTTCCCTCCCTATAAGGGCCTCAATTCCGAGAGGAGAGGTCGCCCCCGACGAGCCACCCAGCGTCGAGCATATTTTGGTACAATCGGCCGATGCAAGCTGACACTCCATCATCACGTTCTCGATGAGGGTATCAATGGTCGTGAATTGTTCCACATGCAGTGATCGAGACGCAGAATCAGGGCATTCGGGGAATGCGATGGACTCCAGAAGTAAGGTCAACGCACGGATCCTCAGTGGGTAGTACTACAAATAAGATCAGTTGCGTCAAATCCTACGCCCTCGGAACAGTACTGACCCAAACAAGGGGGCACCCTGGTTCCTCGTATATTGAAGGAGGTGATGGGATTTGAGCCCTGAGCACTACATTCTGTAACACTCGGGGAGCCCTACAGGTGACACTCAACATTATGTCGGTCACCCAACACTCCCACCAAGTTTTTCTCGTCATATTCATCAAATCCTTCGCCATGTCACCGTCCATAGACACAATAGGGCTTGATGACATCTCGCCCAAAAGTGCTAAAAGGCTAGGAGGCGCAGCGGGGAGGCTGCGTGCCTTGATATCCCCCCCGCCATCAACAATGTTCCAATTTAAGCTCAGTGCAATATCACACGCCCGGGTAAAGAATTCGTGGGCCTGCGGTACGTTCGCAGCGCCGAAAGCAATGTACGTCACAATCAAGAGTGCCTGTACATGTTGAATAGCTTCAACATCCGTTTGAGTAGGGTTAGGAGCAGCGTTAAGCATCGAGATGGCAATGTCCACATAGTCTTTGCTGACTTCAAAGGCGGCGTAGCGCATGCCAATAGCGCAAATTGCATTGAGCAAGAGCGGAGAGTGTTTTGAAAGGTTGGAGATGAAGCTGGGCTTCTCGGGAAGTACGGGGATATAAGTATGAGGGATAGAATAATAGATGTCAACTCTGAATGCGAAACAATCAGATATTGCTTCGATCTGAGGGAGGCTAATTGGCTTACAACTTCAGCACTTCCTTCAAACCCGCTGCTATCCCATTCTCGGCTGCTTCAGAGTTATTGGCGGATGAGAAGACGGATGTGTTTGACGGTGATGCAGCAGAAGTCTCAGAATGATCAGAGGTCCCTTGGGACGATGAAGAGCCCGGTACGGTTCCAAACCAATGCGCATAGTTGGATAAAGGAGAGTCGCGGCACGGGGATTTGTAGGAGTGATCCCAATTATCCCTTGTAGGTTTGATAGGGTACCAGGGATCCGCGAAGTATGAAGATGGAACAGACACATCACAAGACTGGAGGGTTTGGATATCTGCCGCAGGATATGGCAGAGACGCAGCTGAAATAGCAGGAATTTTTGAAGGAGCAGATGTAGGAGCATCGAGTTGGGAGGGAGTAGTGGATGCTGGTTGATCAGCATGCACACGCTTCGGCCGGCCCATTCTCTGTCGAGCGGGCCATACACACTGCATTAGAGTCATTTGCCTGCCTCAACCACACTTCATTCGGATGATGACTACGCCAACAACTACTTACCTCTCGCTGGTTCCGGGCACATCGACTGCAGCTTAACTTGCCTTCAATCCCGTCGCATCGATGCTTTGAACTTCGGCAAAAGGCACACGCGCGTGGACGTGGAAGTCTCTTAGGGTCAACTTCAGTCGTTGACATTATTTTAAAGATGAGGGTGAGCACCCTCAGCAATCCCGTTTATAAGGTTTAGCAAGTCTTGGTGATAATAATTCAGCGGCATAGCACTGCCACGCCGCACAACACCCAAAACGAGCAGAGATGAGACCCGCGATGAGTCCATCAAACCCTGATGAAACCTTTCATGTAGGTCACGAACATACGAAGAGCGGAAACATAAGGTAAAGTGACGGAGAAGAAGGACTGATGGAAGGGACTACCAAATAGTATCCATGTTGCCACATCGCTCAAAGATTTGAGTTCCATGCTTCGTCTTTTGGACAGCATGGATAAAGGACCAAGAAGGAAAGGAGGAAATAAAGAGGCACCATGATCGGTCAAATGTCAACCAAAATAGTCAAAAGTGGTGGCAGAAGTGCCCAAATTGTGGAGATCTTGGCGAGGGGCTGAGAACCGCCCGTACGTGTCGCAGAAGTGGTCGATAATATTGAGGAGCCACTCACGACCACTGACGTGAAAGTATCTGACATCGGTTCAGACGTGACACTTGTGGTGGGATGAGCACTCGGATGAGGTGTTGCACTCAAATCGGTCATCAGAGGGAACATGTGTCGTCCAATGGAGGTAATCAAAGTTTCCCTTGGATGGGAAGGAGAAAGTCTTGAAGAGGAACGTTTCGAAGTCGACGCCCTGACCGAAGATGAACGTGATGACGAGGTTCTTAAGAGTGCTTTAGTGGTGGCGGCAGGATGGGACGGAGTCTGATGAGAAACGGCGGGTCCGCTGCCAATCGACCCTATCGGAACGCACTTGGATGATTTGGGGGCTGGATGTGGTGAGGGGGTGAGGGAGCTGCCTTGGTGAAAGGTGGAGGTGCCATATATACCCATAGGCTACATGCGGGGAATTAAGGCGTGTCTGCGGTGAATGCCGTTGCCATTGCATCGATTACAATTCAACTACTTACCAAACCAGTGTCGCCCATGCAATTCTCGAAGATCCCTGGGTTGTAATTGGCGGGCATATTCCACCTGCACCCTATGGTGAAATGTTTTGGTTATTGTGGATCGGCAGCGAGTGTGGGAAAACGTCCTTGACATACCCATGAGATCGTAAATGTGGCCGCAAAGTTGTTTGGCACGAGTTGTATTTCTGGACCATGCAAGCTGAGGAGAGCGCTTTATGGACAAAATGAAATACCCTTCTCACCCGTCCTTACACCCACGTATGCAATATTCGTTGTCGCTCATAAAGTTCTACACAATTTGAATACGTCACTTGGCACATTTCTCACGATGAAGTCCACCCACCGTCCATTCATGGATCTGATGGTAAGATCCAAATGCATTAGAGAAAACGAGGCCGCCGATAGGATTTCCCTCTCCAGTGGCGCCGTGTGGATCAAGCTCCCCTTCAATTAATATCATTCAAGCACCTCTAGACACGACGATGCAAAACTTCTCACCTCCCTCGTCACCCTTGGGGATATTCATTTTCGTAAAATCCCCCACGCCAGTGACTTGTACCTGACACAAGTTTCAACGGACGAGTCAAAGAAGTGGAAAAATAGGCCACTTACATAATCTGGTGTTTGCACGAAATGAACGCTGTACAAGGTACCAGGGGGAATGAGCCGCGTCCCGTAACCGTCCTTAGTGCACCAAGAGACTTCGATAGACTATATTTGGATCAATAATAACGCCAAGAGAGATGATCGGGTCCTGGCTGACCTCTGTATCTCCAACAGTTGAATCAGGTCCTGGAGACGGGGGTCCCCACAAACAAAAGTCCTGCCCTGAATTAACTTTTCATAGAATGTCAGACTACGACAAGCGACGAATCGGGCTGAAGCTCTCTCTCGCGGAGCAACGCTACGCACTGAAGACATTCTGACATCTGGAGTCCTGGTGGGCAGTCTGACCGCACTGATTTGTGCCATATTGTCCCTTTTCAGACTGCTTAGGGGTATTCCATGGCAAATATGTAGCGGTGTATTGAGCAGAAGCCAGCCAGATGGCATAAGCCAACACCAGAAGAGATCGGACAACGTTCGGTCTCACGGGCGGCATATTCTCACTCCCAGCATGCGCAGATACAATGTGAAAAGAAGAGACGAAGAGTTAACAAGATCGCGCGGGCAGCGAGCAGAAGTAGCCTGAAAATTGCATGGGGGCCCATGCAAGTTCCTTATAAATACGTCCACTCACACAAGTGAATCTTCTATCAAACCAACCATGCAGGAGTGCACGAAACGCAAACCCTTAGCGAGCGGCTTGCAATGCGGACCCGCAAGAAACGAAAGTTTGGTTTTTTATGCACCGAGCATGACGTATTTCCAGGAAAAGCAGGCATTATCCGTGTGTGCTGAGAGACTAGGGCGACGCTTTTGCCAATGCTCGGCATTCAAACTTGGCAGGGCGAGAGAAGCGTGGGAATGCAGCGACGCCAAGTCGAATTCACGTGGTTCACTCGACTTCTGTGCTCCGGCCAAATCGCCGAGACACAAACGTCCGGAGAAACATTTGACACAATTCTAAGATGTAGTTACACAAGACAAAACATCCGAGTCGATCTAGTATGCACCCCAATCGAGCACTCGTCCTCACATAAACAAGTGTGTCAAAAAGCGGATGGCGCCACGAGGATCAAGGTCGTCGTAATGATAACAGCCAGTATCACAAACGGAATAGCAGCGTGGCTGGAAAGCTGATGTAGTAACCAGGGATATGATAGTCTAAAGACGTATATTCTTAGGAATCGCACGTTGAGCTTGGCGAACCCCCAAATCAGCCAAGATATCTTCAGCTTTGTAACGATGAATATCAGACAAGTTGAAAAAAAGCAATGTAAAAAATATGACCTACTTCCACCTAGGATAGCGTCGAATGGTATAGTTCGATGATATTGCTCTATTGCGCTTCCAAGACCCGTTTTCGTGATCTAAAATATCATGCCAGTCAGGGGACCTAGTCAAAATGAGGGTACAAATCGGTAGTATGTGATAAGACGTACTCCTCGGCCCCCAAATAGCTGAGAGAGAGAGATGGATACCAATTCTCCGTCAGATGTTAGGGTCACAATCTAAAACGGGGAAAGGGGCTTACCTGAGTCGCATCCCGTGCGGTATCCTGACTACAACGTGTTGCGAATTGTTTCAAAAGAGCGATCGGTCTTGAAACCCTTTAGTTAAAACTGAATCCGCTTGGTATCCAGGCCTGAACACGCACCCAGCAAGATGATTGGCTTGTTGGGCATAAGTCTGAAAAATTAATCCTGTTCAGGATCGTGCGGAAAAAGTGTGAGGTAAGTAGTTTCGACACACCATATTGCACATCTGATGGGCTGGAAACCCAATTAGTCCTACTGAAGATAGTTTGGCTCAAGGACATACTGATATGTTCAAGCCACGTCTGGCACACTTCAACGCGACTGATCATCTGCGCGATCCTATGTCATCCGCTGGCTCGTAAGCTAGTTGCACAATTGCTAAGGGAAGTGTGTGAGTTAACTACATACCTGCTCCGTACCACTGGTTGCTCGATCAAAGGCTTCCCAAAGACTTTCCGCTGATTCGACCACCTATGCACGTGCAATCGGATCAACTGTATACTGTTACCCCCCCACCGCGAGGAACCATATCTACCTCAGAGTCTCGTCCACAATATTGCGCATTAGTTGCACAGTGTTGACGACCATCCCCCAACGCTCATGGTTAAAGTTACTCAAAATGACTTTGAGACCTTTATCCACTTCTCCGAGGGTATGCGAAACAGGCACGCGTACATCGTCGAACGATACGAAGGCCGTTCCCGCCGTTGAGGAATACGAAGTTTTGATAGGTTTGGTTTCCACCCCTGGACCACGAGGTATGACGATCATTGTAAGACCGTGCTGTTAATCGATGCATGAACATTCATATTATTCCCATTCGGGGGGGATCGCTGCCCACCTTACTGGTTCGGCAAGCTGTCTGGAAAAGCAGTAGAATGAAAGAGCCGAGTCAGGGGAGAATGCATTGAACCAGGATAATAGCTTACGGTGAAATAGTCTGCAAACGTCCCATTCGTAATCCACTTTTTCGTTCCATTCACAATCCACCACTTTCCATCCTCGCTTTTCCGAGCAGTACATCTCAATCCAGAAACGTCGCTCCCCGCAAACGCCTCCGAAATAGCCAGCGCAACTACCTTTGAACCTTCCATGACCTCACGAGTGATCTGCTGTGCGAGTTTGCGGTCATTCGCAAAGTTAAGGATAGGTGGAAGACCGATGTATGCCCCTGCGAGGAAGCCATCGATAAATCCTCGTTGCCCAGCTCGGGCTGATTCTTGACCGAGTAGGAGCTTTTGGTGATCGTTGAGTGAGACTCCAATCAGTCATCGGGGGTTACGCTTACTTCGTGGAAATAGTCAAACTCTTCGGGCTTTACGTCTGCGAGGAGCTTCAAGCCTTTGAGGTGAGGGCCCGGGCCAAGTTTGAATGCAATGATGTTCATTTTTCTGGAAAGGAATGGTCGGTGGTTTGACAATTTTGTCATGGGAATGTAGCGCCTACGAAAGCTCCTCGACGACCTTCTGGGATATGCGATCTCCTGTCTCCTCACACCGTTTAGCTTCTGGAATAATTAGCTGGCGAGGAGCGTCAACATGAATATGTGCACGCCAATATGATGGATGATAAGACCCACCTCATCGCATATTTTCCTGAATTCCTTGTGCAGTCTATAGTGACTCTCTTTGTAATATGGGGACTTGAAAGGCCGTGTCAACCATGCAGGCTCTGAATCTTCTTTAGTGATAGCTTGCTTAGCGTGGCGTGACTGACCCACCTCCATAAGGGACCGGACTGAGGGAACCAGGTGGGAGAGGTTTGAAACGTTCCTCCTCTCCGACGATGATTCCAATTTGAAGACGAGCATACTGAGGCCGCAATAACACCTCCGAGCGGTGAAGCGAGTAGAAGAGTTCAGTACAATCTTTTCCTCCTGCATTTCACCATCCAGGATTACTTATCGAGTTGGAAGGGAATGTGAACTCGTTCGGCCGTACTCACGGACTTCATCGTCAAGCAGAACGGCTTTCCCGCCTGGATGGAATTTCAAAAATTTGGTAAGATCAAAGACTTTGGCATCTATAATGGTCCAAAGGTCGCCCTCCTTGTTGTGCTATAACGAACTCGGATCTCAGCCGAATACGATTGGTGCACAAATAATCATAACCTCACTTGGGCGACTTCTTCTACTGTGAGCAGTTTAATCTTTCCGTCCATTTTATGCCCTCTTTATGTACCAGGAAGTGGTTACGCTACTGAAGAATGGCGACGTGGTTGTAGGAAATGGGTGGGAATTGAAATGTGTCCCACGCCTTCGGGACGCTCACCGTGCAGGTAAAACGGTCCATCTTCAACTCAATATCCGAATATCTGTAGACTGGGCTCATCAATGGAGCATGATATGGGTACTATTCGGACGAGGGTGGAAGGGTACACACTGAATGTCACGGTTGTATTTTCACTTTATTTTCGTGGATTTATTCACAAGTACCCGCTGCTCTTCCGTCCATTGCTACTTTGCACTTTGCCCGGGTTTATGCCCCTCGCCATGCAGGCCATTCACTTCCGGTTTTGATCCCAATTGCAGAACATTACACACTTGGATCTGCACCTTGCTTCCGTGGTGGAAAACTGGTGAAAAGGTGGCGGTTATTCTCATGGTGCATGCAGTTGAGTTGGGAACCGGTAGCATCGGCCTCTCCAACAAATATTGGGACCGGGAAACAAGCCCTACCTTTTCCCGTTAGCGAATGACTGGAGTTCTTTATAATAACCTCGCTGTAGATGCTGGCTGGCTGATATTTCGAATAGCAGGGCCCCAAAGTGAACTTGTAAGGTACTTAATTTCAGAGCAAGTGACGTAGGGGGCATAACGATAACAAGCCCACCCAAGTGGCATGGGGTGTTCCCACTTGGTGGGTGTGAGATTCCATATTCACTTGGGAGGTGATCCGCCTGTCACCTCGCTAAGTCTGGAAATAGGTCACAGCGTCTGGAGTCCGGGAAAATTTGAGGCATGGTGTTATGTATTCCAAACGATCTTTAATTTTTCTGGATTGAGCTACTCTAAACGGTTCTAATTCCTGGCTGAAATGATAGTCATCAAACTACCAGGTCTGACGTAAATTTCCAGGTGGAGTGACGCTATGACTTCTATTCGTGAGGCCCGTCCCCTAATGATGATCCTTCTTTGGGGTGTTATGTAAAGAGGAACCGCTCCACAGATTATCGTATGAATTGAGGATACTTACTTCATAATCCTTTTCTAATGCAATTGTGGTTGTAGACTCTGCCGCCGCACGTTACACGGGTACGTTAGGCATGGTTGATCCATTCCAGAACCATTACTGTATCGTGGGCCCGACCCGGACTGTGGCATAGGTTTCGGATCTGGCTGTTGACGTGACATCGTGTATCCCTACAATGAACACCGCGCAATAAGGGACCAAGTCTTATCCACCATATACACTCACACATCGTCATTCCCTCGATATTCAGACGCTGAAGTGACTAGGTCGACTCAGAGAGTGATTCATTTCCAATTCACGTCAGTACGACAGTGACGAACCCCGGTTGTTAGACTACGAAATCCCACATTCGGATTACACGGTGGAGCATAAAGTACTCTGCTGCTCCACGTCTTGGGTCATTACATAAGTATGAGCTCGCCGTGTCACTCACGCCTCTCAGGTTTATCCGGCCCGAACGCCCAGATCCCAGCCCTGCATATGTCGTACGCTCTCGGAACCAATGCCGAACCTGCGGATCATTGACCTAGCTCAACCTCAAAGAAGCGTGCTCCCTCGGATGCAAGGGAAAGGCTCAAATCAAGGATCGGATGAATTCCTCATACACACAAACTCCAACGGGGGGACGAAATAAAAATCGATAGGGTTCATGCGATCGAGGTGCAGCACAATAGTCTGACCGAAGCAAGGCAACTCGAGCATGAGGTTCAACTTCAGGGGGAAAGAGCGAATATGTCATGGAAAGGCCACTGACATTCCATCTTGGGGGACATCGCATAGAAGCATTGCGGTCTTTCTCGATGCCCGGCCGCTGACTTGGTGATCCTATTGGGTCGGGAACGGGCTTTGACAACTGGAGATTGGACATGCATCTCTTGGTTATTGGATTGGTATTCATCGCCTCCCCACTTACTGTGTATGCATATAATTACAGATTTTGAGGCGCATTGCATCCAAGTTCAACGGAACATACATGCTGTGCTTCTGCTCAACCAATGTTAATGTTGATCAATGGAATGATTTGGATACAAGCGGGCGCTAGGTGCATCTAGAACGAATACATCGAGTTGATCAGGGAAGCTTCGGATCGCGGGGTTCATGTAAAAAGTGCCAATGACAATTCATATATATGTATATCCGCAAATCGATTATTTAAAAAAAGCTGTTTGACAGCTCAAGCTATAGGATACTACCCCAAGGCCCCCTTCCCCCCTCTTCGCTCTTCGGTGACTTCTAGAAACGCTCCAGTTGATGGGGTGTTCTGTTGGATCCATAGCCGCAGAGCGACATCACTTTTATGTGAGCACAACTGCATCTATATACTCCAACTTCTGTCGCACTGCATCCATTGGAATCTGATTGAACACCCTATCACTGTCTGGACAACGCGCATTCACCAAAGGCTAGTATCACATTAATCGACGCCTCACAGTCCTATCACCAGTGAGAGTTCATCTTCTACTGACAACCATTAGTTTGCCCGTATCGAGGAATTAATGATAATTTAAATCGTGCGCGATTAGGTAGGATGCTGCCAGCAGGACAAGGCACTCACACGAGCATCTGGACACTTTGTCAAACCTTATCCAATTTATTTGACTTTGTGGTTTGACAGGCAGGACGTGCATACAGAGGCCAATGTGCCCGGGCCTCTCGGCAGAGTCGCTTGCACAGTGTAGGGGGGGGGCATAAACACATCCTGAAAGTCGTTCACAAGCACGCGCGCTACAGAATCATAACGGTTGTGCGTTTATGATATGACGCAAGTATTCCAAAAGCGTGTCTGTTCCAAGTTGAAATTAGTCTTCTGAGCATAAGCTATGCATGGACGCCATTTTAGTTACGAAGGGTTGGGAGGCTGCCATGGCAGCTCTCAACAAAGAAAATGGGAAATAGGTTAGTAAAAGGAGAAGTGCAGTTTAAATTACATAACAAACAGACCGATATGCTGGAAGGGCTTCGATTGATGTTGATAAGGTGTCTCTGTGACGCTTCTCTCCTATCACACCGCTACAGAGATCGCATGCAAATGGGTTCAGATCAGTGCATGTATGAGTGGCTTTGGACCAAAGGTGGGAGCCTAAGTTGTAAAGTGAAAATGGGATAGTAGATTCCACCTTGGTTTTCCAATGATGATCGGCGAGAGGAAAGTTTGCCCGTTCTTCGCAAGAAATGCGTTTAACAGCCTAACCAAATGCTTAGGTGACCACAATCACCCAGACTCGACAGCCACACGGATCTTACAAATAGCCGTACGCTGTCAGCGAGGACAACCTCAAAACGCATGCGAATTTCTAGAGTTCGGTGAAGAAATAAGCACGTAATTGTAACACCTAGGCAGAAGCTGCCAGTGCATCGAAGATATGGCTGTTCGGCCAACCCTTCATTGAGATCAACGAGGTGGCCTTGCGGCCAAGTTCATTCATTACGAGTCACCGGAAATAACCGGTACCCGCGCTTGACCGCGCTGCAGTCGCGCACAGGAATTCCTTACACAGCATCTCCATTTAATTTATTCCGCTATATATATATGTTATATTCCTCTGCGACTAGTGTACCAAGCTGGAACACGGGTTGGAAAGGCGTTTACAAAGCTAGCACATCAAAAATGAAAGATGGCCGTATTCAGCGATCGGGCGCAATACAATCACGCCAGAGCATGTGATTTGCCCGAGTCTATTATTAGGGTTACTGTGTTGAACATGATATTATTCTGTCCAGCGCCTATGTATATATCCCTTAGGGGTTTTTATCCACCGATCGATTTGAAATGTTACACAGTCTTTATCATATTAAAAGGCCCGTGGGGCCAGTCTCTCACCAACTGGCAACCCCTTGATCCCTCTTGACGTGGGTCCCCAAGTTGTTTCATCAGGTCTCAGCGCGACCTTGGCAAGCATTTACTCGATCCACGCAACCTCGACGTCTATTCTAGGGGTGCTTCAAACTTGTAGGTCCGGTTACTAAAGATGTTGTACTGGCTTACCAATGCTTACGCAGATTTTTGAGGGGCATTTGTTTCACCATGAGCACTCGCCCATACAGTGCTCTTTCCCAAGCAGATATCCTCGATTGTATTCCCTCCACTGGGTATTCTGCGTATTCAGTAAATGATTTTTTTGAGGGTATACGGCGCAGCCGGAACGCGGCGACCACCAAGATCCTGTCTTGCACTCGCTATGGCGACAATAATGGTGTGCCCCACCGGTTTCTGATCCTCCACGCCCAGAGAGAACCCGAGAAAGACTTCTATGTTCGTCTGGATCGTCGGCCGGACAATAGTAATGGGGGCCTTTTGTCCAACTTGAGCAAATCACCTGCACAGGACACTGTTCGTGCCTCCCATGGTTTGGTTGTATTCAGACGAGTGATACATGCTGGTTCGTTAGGTGGTCATTTCGGGAAGTATGGAGAAGCTATGTCAACAATGTCAACACATGTCAAGGGATGAAGCAAGGATGGAATTTCCTACCAAACCATCCCTCCTCGATATCGGAAAGGTTATTGCGTCCATCGCATCGGAGTCGCAAGCCTACCGTTTGTCTAGGGTGAGTTCGGCATCACGGAATCAGATTGCAGTGACTCAACTCGTGGGATAGGAAAACTGTTGGTTCTTTGCCTCCATCACGCAGGACTTGTTCATGCGTTGTTTCGATGCGCATTACGATAGAGGCCAATTGAATCACCCAGACCTCGTCAGGCAACTCCGAGTGACCATAAGATCACGGGTTTACCGCGACGAACTTCGTCTCGGAGACTTGTTGCAGCCCATAAAGCAATTCGCCCAAGATATAGGTGACGTGGAACTGACCGGGGCGGTGTATTTTGCCTTGCGGATTATTGTTCAATGCCATGTATGTCGTGATACCCGTTCGCGCTTCAGGCCGCCTGACGACTTTGAGAACAGAAAGCCTTTTTTACTCAGTATCCACCTCAAGACTTTTTTGCTGCGGAAGCGGAAGTGCGCCAGTTGCTTGGCGCCTTTATCATTGCTCTCCATGAACACCTCCTTGGGGTCCTTGGAATCCAGGGTATGATAAAGTTTTCAGATGACTTTGCTTCGTGAGTCCCGACGTGATAGAAGATGATGGTGTCCTTATGTGCGTTATGTGTTCTAGCCAGTTACATAGGCTTTGCCAGAGCTGGAGCGCTGAACACCACATGAACTTGTCCCTCACGCACCGGACGAGGCATCCGTTTACCGTATTTAGTTTATCTTTAACTGAACTCTTTGGGTTTCCACTCTCGGTACGCATCATCATACACTATATTATTGTGTCCACACATAACAAAATGTAATAGGGCGAAGGTTGTGACTCAGATAAATCGCTCGTTTTTCATCTCATTTATGGCTCGAATGGTGCCGCAAAAGACCCTCAATGTTCCCCACTTCCAGGCCACAGGCTTGTCCTCCTGCTCCTTAAATCACTTCGATGCGCTGAAAATTTGAAGTCTTCGCCATTAATGGGATCGCAGCACTTGAGGAACCGACATGTGTTCAATCTCCAAACGGAATTTGACAGGGTCATCCCTCCTCAGGTGCGATCGCTTTGGCAGCACTGTCATTCTATCCTATGTGAATGTGGTTCGAGGGTCGAGCAAGCCCGATCAGTTATGTCGAGTTCGATACCAGCACTTCTGCATTGGGTAGCGGCGATGGGCATCATGGGCGAACTTGACCAAGCCTGTCATGTCTTGCACAAATTCGAACGATATCTGGTGAGTCCTTCGAAACACACATATATTCCATTTTGTTTCTTATTTCCCACATCGAAAAGGCTTCGGAGGAAAGGGCCGGAGTTCGTGAACTATACCGATTGGTTCTTCAATCCAAAACTTCCATCGCAACACATTCCTTATCACTTCTTGGCGGCTTTTATCCTTTCATTCCGTCTTACAGCCGGCTTCGTTCCCTTTACCCCGTGGAGACCAACACAACACGTTCCAAGGCATGGGTGGCTGCACATCGAGTGACATCGAGGGTCTCATGGTCCCCATGTGTCGGCCAATTTCAACATCCGGGCGTAGTGCTGTCGTTGGCATACTCGCCAAATGAATCGTACGTGGCCACCGGTTCGCGTTCCGCTGTGTACGTCTGGGCTGCAAAGTCTGGAGCAAAACGTCGGACGTTCGAAGGTCATATTCGAGACGTGTGTTCCGTGGCCTTCTCACCCGACAGTACACGCCTTGCGTCCGCTGACGATGGAAAGGTCTGCATTTGGGATGTAGCAACTGGGGAGCTGCTCCGGGAGCTCGACGGGTGCACAAGCGTTGCGTTCTCACTCCATGACCGTCACATGGCTACTGCTGCCCCTGATTGCGCCGTAAAAATCTGGGATGTGGAATCAGGAGAACTCTCCCAGACGCTCACTGGGCACACGAGCCAGGTTAACTCCGTTTCTTTCTCGCCCAACGGCCGTTACCTTGCGTCATGTTCAGATGATAAGACTGTGCGTGTCTGGGCAGTAGCAGCTGAGGTTTCGCTCCACCGTCTCCTTGAAGGGCACAGTGACAGGGTGGTATCCGTCGCGTTCTCGCCCGATGGCTCGCGCTTGGCGTCCGCATCGTACGATACAACTGTGTGCATCTGGGACGTAGAGTCTGATGCCCCCCCGCGGATTCTTGGAGGTCACAATGACGCCGTATGCTCTGCCGTGTTTACACCGGACGGTCTCCATCTGTTCACCGCTTCACGATCCAGTTCGTATGTCCATTTCTGGAACGCTGTAACTGGAGATCTACTCGGACAACTTCCGGCTCCTGTTGGAAGTAGCGGTTGTCTTGCATTTTCGCATCACAAGCGCCGCCTCGCCACTGGTTCAGAAAACAGTGTGCGAGTGTGGGAAGTGCCGGCAGAATGGTGTCTCTCCGGGTCTGTGGGACATATTGGACCTATCTCATCAATCGCCATCTCGTCAGCTAGTCGTCGTGTAGCGTCAGCTTCGGAGGATAGCACAGTGTACATTTGGGACATGGCGACGAGCTCGCCACTTTGGAAGCTCGAAGGACACGCCGAGGGGGTCTATAGTATTGTATATTCGCCTGATGCTCGTCGCCTGGCCTCCACTTCGAAGGACAAAACGGTGCGCATCTGGGATGTGAGAATAGGAATATTACTCTGGACGCTCGAAGGTCATACCGGGGAGACCCTTGATGTTGCGTTCTCACCTGATGGTCTTACTCTCGCTTCCACATCCAGAGATATGACCACTCGCGTTTGGAGCGTGGAGACGGGGACGCTTCTTTGGACCATTCATCTTAATGGAATACATGACGCATATTCGTTGAATGACCGTCACCTCTGCATCTGGGACGCGACAACCAAGAATCAAATTTTGGACTTGCCATTGCCCCCATTACCCTACAGATTCGATGGCCATCCTTGGGACCATATCTCGTTTCAGAGCGATTCGTCCATATTGCTTAAATCCAAACATTATTCTGCAATATTCGATATCACTGAAAAGACCCTGACCGCCCCGTCACCCTCACAAGCAGAGTCCCCTTCCTCGGCACCCACTGTCGTTTTGGATAGTTCCGAGAACTCCCTCTATGTCAAACGAGAAGGGGGTAGCCTTCGCCTTTGTTTCCTTCCCGATTACTTTGAAGCCACCACTCCTGTAGTGCAGAACGAAAGCTATGTCTGTATAGGGGGGAAATCGGGTGAGGTTGTTTGTGTTGAGCTTGATCCAGCCTCCCCCTCTGTTCAGTATTCAAGCCTCACCGCATTCCCATTCACCCGGTTGTACGCGTAATAGACACTTATACGCAAGCTAGCACAACGAATTCGCTGATTCGAGTCCCGATGTCTCGTACTTCTCGGTTGCATCTCCAAGCGGCGCAGCTTCGAAGCCCTGGCCATCAACACGTTGGTTTCTTTATCCTATTGTTATGGGATTGGAATATGTATTGATCAAGCCGTACCCGCGTGCCCTGGGGTTCTGGGCTGATGCGGCATTCTTCTCATCTCCATGACGCCCATTGACCAGCCGTTCCACCTCTCATCCATCAACGGCCTGTGTCAGCCACACCGTCCCTCATTTGGGATCTTAAGATAATTCTCAATGCTGATAATTTTCTATCGCGGGCATTGCAATGGGATGCTACAATTCATATGCTGTGTGATCTTCCCTTTTCATTTCCCTGATTATCTCCGTGTACAGTGATTCTTCATGTTTTTCTGTACCCCACGCCATCGCTAGGTCTACGTGGGTTTCCTAGCTATGGCACGCGACCCCACCCCACGATAGAGTCGGAGGCCCTCCATCGCCATCTTTGGAGCTGGGAGATGATGACTGGCGGTTCGCTAGAGGTTACCTACGCACGCTTGCATTCATCGTCCCTGTTGCATACACTATGAAGAAGATGATTGTACTATTAGTTAGCTAGACCATAGAAGCGATGATCATAGAAGCGATCTGTTTAATGCCTACTCCTGAGCAGTGATCGCTGTTTTCAACTCGTGCGCGACGCTACCCACTTTTTCACTTTCCCTCGGAGACGTTGAGCAATATCAGAACTTGTTACCCAGTGTCACACGTTATGATTCCCATCCGCGCACGACCGCGCTTCGCGTCGCCCTTGAAAACTGTACGGGTTTGAGTAGACTTGCTTGGGATTCAGTTCGGCAATATCCAAAATTACATTGTCGTGAAATTCGTACGAGTAATGTAAGCAGGAATTGATGCAAGATCACATACTCGGGGTTGCGGTAAAAATGATTGCTTCGGGGCGAAGTGGCACACAATGAATGCGGAGCAGAAACGAAGGCCAAATAAGAAACCTCAAAGGGAATCCACCAACCCCTATCAAGTGACGTATCTGAAATGAGGCCAATCTTCTCCACTCGCCGCCTCTCTTAACAACTCCTCATTCACAAACACATCCTCTCCGCCTTCCTCGCTTTTCCAAGCAGTTTGTGTTGTCAAAGTGCTGTTAGCAACTTTACTAGGTCCATAAAGGGTATCACGTCGGTTGTTCAAGCTTTGGAAGTAGAGGGATAAGGAGAGGGACAGGAGGGATGCGAGGAAGAGGAGGCCTGCTGCTATGCACATTCTGTATCAAAGTGTAGAAGGGAGGAAGGGTGCGTGAGTCCCCTTGACAGTCAATGCACAATGACGAAGGGACGAACCCTGTTACATAATAGGGCGCATGGCGAGATGGATATAGGTGAATTCCGAGTAGTGGCCTGAGCAAACAATGACATTTTGAGTCCCAAGTAGGCCCCACAATGGTCATAGGTGGCGTCGTGGTCAGAACCATGTGCAACATGAGAAGATTACATCAACAGACCCGCATTGGCCAAGAACGCCAAAGATCGCGAACCCTGCGCCTCTTTGCGATTCTCGCACTTGATTATTAGACACCCACGCTGCGAATTGAAACTGAGTTAGCATTATCTCCTCCGAATGGACTGTCAGCTACGTTAAAACTTACAGTATAGGACTGAAGATAACCAGTCCATTAGTTATGCAAACCTTGCAAACGTCTAAAACAAACCACTTACGTGGCACCATCGTAAAACATCCCGTCTAAAAATGTCAAATAATGTCAAACGCGAAAAACGAACCTAACTCACCGCAACAAGGAAAATGGCCGCGTACCTAATCCACACTCCCCTACAAATCGCCAAAACAACGTACCCAATCGCCCCCACTGCAGAATAGAATGAGACCATCATTCCACGTTTGCCCAGTCTGTCTGAGACGAACATGCTGAGGATAGCACAGATGAAAGCGGCAAGGTATGGAGGGGCGGAGAGACCTGAAATTTGCAAGTCGCACGGATTAATAATTAATAGGGAATTAGGTTGGGCAAGACGTGTAACTTTACCTTGGGCCCGGACGGTTGAGAAGCCCGCTTCTTTCAGGAGAGTAGGGAGGTACACGGGAAGTGAAGCGAATGTTACCTAAATCCCAACATTAACAAAATACAGTGAACCCCGGGGATCAACCATGAAACGTTACATTAGCAATGAAGAATAAGACCCCATTCACGTAATTGATTGGGTCCCTTAAACTGGCTAATACTTGACTCCAAGCGATGCCACCTTCACCACCTGCTTCTGCTCGAATATGATCACCTTGGACGGTGTTCGATAGTGACATCCGTAGTCGCGCTAAAGATTTCTCCCTCGGAGTGAGGAACTTGCATGTCTATGGTTAGTGACGTTGTCCAGAGGGAGGGTGGTGTAGTGTCGTCAGTGCCGCCCGGGAGAGGTAATTTTTAGCTGGAAAAGAGCATACTTCTATAGAATTGGGGAGCAGGTAGTAGATGAAAGGCGCATAGAGAACTGTTGGGGCTCCCTCTTAAGCAAGAATTAGTAACGCGTAATCAAACACCAAATATCCGCCGGCTTACCGACGATAAAAAGTAGTCTCCAACTAGCAACCCGGCTCCCCTTCCCAATTTGGACAAGTCCATAAGCCAACGCCCCAGCAAAACTGCTAGATAACGCAGCAGCAGAGACAAATATTCCAAATCTGGACCCAAATTCATATCTTGGATAGAAAAATGAAAAATACAACGCCACTCCAGGCCCGAATGATGCTTCGAACGCTCCGATGAAAAATCGAGCTGTCATGAGTCCCGACCAGCTATGCGCTGTTCCTTGCAGCCTAAAGGTGGGTTATTTTTAGGTCAGTACAAAGCCAAAATCGGGACTTTCCGTGACTCGAAAGGGGTGGAGAAGAAGGGAAGTTGAGAGATTTGTGGCTGAGGGAATTCTTTGCTTACATAGATGTCACACCCCATGCTAGAGCCGTGAATGACGCAATTACTCTGGGTGGCAAGACTGAAACAATGGTTGGGTATTTTTAAAAGAATCAAACGAATCACGCACCTTTCCAGAAAATAACGAACTGTAGGAAAAGACGAGGACTAGTTAATGGAAACCCCGGGTGCCCACCGGGCGTTGAACAGGGGACTGACCAATTGGAAGATCTGCAAGTAATCGTTTGACAAATGAAGGAAAGACACGAAGGATCATGATACGTACGATGTACGAGATGTAAAATATCGTAAGCAACCATTCATATTTGCTCGACGTGAGATTGAGGTCTGTTTTCATCCCAGCAGCATACGCATTTCCGATATTAGATCTGTCGATGCCAGAACAACCTCAAAGGGTTGGACAGGGATACAACAAACCCTACTCACCGATCGAGAAAAGCTAATGCATAAAGTGTGTAGACTCTATAAACAAGGGACCCACAGGAACCAAAGGTCAAACTGTGCCAGTGACACGTTCCGGTGAGAGCAGAACAGACGCACACAGGGATTATATGACGATCCAATTTTTGTCTGAGGATGGACTCTTCTCGCACTGTAAAACGTTGGTCCGATATCGACGTTGGCGCTAAATGTTGGGTAGATGTAGCTGGGCTATTAGGGGCGGTGTCCGTTTTGGTGGGTGCGTTCATGACAGTCCTCCCTGAATACAAATGCGTGATGCTCCTCGACCTTACAGTCAGTAAACGTGCCGTCCAGCGCTCGACGGACGCGAAAACGACACGAGATGTGGAAAGGCGAGTGGAAGCACTTGGGAAGGAAAGGATATTATTGTCAGGCTATATAATAAGCATCCGTGATCTGTGAATGTTTCGGAAAAACTTCCGACTCGGGAGATGTATAGTTCATTACTGTACACGATGACGCAAAAAGGGGCGAATGTTAGACTTATCGACGGCCATGTCCTGTAAAGGCACATACGGACTTCTGGCAGGCAGGTGACCAGCCTCTGACTTCGGGGCGGCAAGTGTGATGGCGGTGATGATGATGACAGCATGCAGAAGACCTCTCGAGTTCATCGCCATTGACGACACTAGCCGCTATATTGGCGCTGAGTGCAAGCTTACACCTCTCCTCGGATCGAGCTGGAGCACAGACGCTCACGGATGTCGATGGGCCGGAAGTAGAGCGGTGAATAACAATATAATTGAATCATTCATAAGGCACGTGCCACAATTTAGAGTTCACGGTCGACACGAAAAGGAAGAAAAAGGAGAACAGACAAGAAAACATCTGGTATCGAGAAGGAGGGGGGAGGTTTTTTTAAGGGGTTTTGGCTTTGTTTTATTGCTTTGTTTTGATTGCCTTATTTCTTTTTTATGGATCAACGAGGTCGGCCTGTGTGTCTTACCTTAGCTGCAGAGTCGGCCGGATTTATCCGACCCTTCGTCCATAATAGTATTCCAATATGTCGCAGGCCTGATTCGCTGGGCTCCTGGTCATCAGAACTGCACGGCATATTGCTCGCGTTTTCCGCTTCCCCCAACTCGTACATATATGTTTACAACGAGGAATTTGTCATCAAGAAACCAAACTCGGGATAAAGAAAGACTCGGCCGTGAAGTCGATATGGCGCTTCTTACTGGTAATGATTGTTTATCGGTCGCTACTTCAGTCATGGGGAGATTATGGGGTTTATCACATGGTTCGGGAAATACAATGATCAAGAAACAACATTCGCCCAGTTCGCCCAGAGTGCGATGACCGTCCCTCTCAATGATCTAACAGTTTTGTGCCCTGCTCAACAGGCCACATTCTAAGGGCATCATTCACGAGGATGTGGAGCCATCTAACCTCGTCAACCCACGATTTATCCATTTTGCCGAGGCCGTGCTCGAGTCTGAGTCCCCTTGCAGACATGCCTCGTCAACACACTTCGTCTCCCCTTCTTCCCAAATCGTCACCCCAGCTGCGTACAGGTCGTCTGCATGGGTTAGGGGAGAACGAATTTTCAGGCGCATTTATACTGGGCGTTTACCATTCGAAGACATCGTGGAAGATGACGTGGATTTGCTTATTAAAGAGGGTCTTCACCCAGATCTCAGTCTAATTGACGATGGAGCTGTCAAGGCTCTGATCCGCGAATATCTAGATGGTGGAGAGTGAGTTTCATGCAAAGCTTCCGATCAAGTTTCATATTACTCTTTGTCTAAAGCAGCTGACTCCGGAGGACACCCAAGACTATCGTAGGGACCTCAGCCGGATTCCTGGAGACCAACTTGCGCGATCATGCGGTAAACTGCCGGACATAGCGTTCCATGGAGGGCCTATATCGGTTGGGCTCACCTGCGAGATTTTGGCTCTTCCCCTTCTCGAATTTATTTTCGCCACCGACACAATGGCTTGTTTGTTGTGAAAAAATACCATTGTTTGAAGAGCCAGGGCACCTCAGCGTCCTGCCTGGACCAAAGCAGACCTGGCCTCTGACACCTACTTGCTTCTTTCCACTCTCCCACGCTACCAACATTTGTTTGACACAACATTTGTCACTCACTCTTCCGTTGCCTCTCATGCCACCATGTCCTGTCCGATATAACATCTCACATCCTTTACCTCTCATGCACCCGAGTGTGAACCTTCAGAGTCCACCATAATGTATACAACGATCACAAAGCGCTACAAGCACTGTACTGCGAACCCACGCCATGTCTTCCGTCAAGATTGTGCAGCAGGGGCAAATATGAACCCTCGAACCTATTGTACACCCAATCCTGCGTTCGGTTCCTCATTCATTCTGTCCTGCACGTTACTATAGGTTAGACGCGCTAATTAATTCGGTTCTCACTACGGAGACGGAGCTCATTATTATGGCGCTCCGTTACGATAGATTGTCTACGCTCATGGTATAACAAACAACTTTCACCCGCATAACTCAATTGGTACTAGGATGCTTATCAGCTGCCAGGAGAGCGAGCATACTTCAGAACAGATTCCCGTTAGCACTATTGTACAAAGCAGGAAGGTATACACGAGGTGAAAATGATCACGGTGACCATGAAACACACGGAACACAACCAAGACAGATATCTTTCCGTATGCTACTTGCAGTGGTTAGTTTAATCATCCACCGTTCTGACCAAATATCTGATCATATCAGTAGGAATGGCAGAAGCTTGGGAAGTGCGGCTGGAATTATATCCAGTAAATTCAACCCTTGTTTTTTCATTAGGACCCCCTGCCCCGGCCATTCAACTGTGCCAGCGTCGGGATCACGCTCCCAAATCCTACCATTCACCGAGCGAACGATCTTGTGCTCCGCAGTTGCGATCCAGGAATCATCGGGTCCCGTTTCCCACAACGACACTCGCTTTCCATCACGACTCATGACCAAGACCATCACGGTTTTCGCACCAAATATGCCCGCAATCCCATCAGGAGACAGACATTGCTCCCACACGCTTTCATCCCGCATGTCCTGGTAACTCCCATCACTAATTGTTACGGTGTTTTGGATGACAGCATCGATAACTGTTTGAGCTGCCTCCACAATATGCAGGCCAATCTCCACAGTATCCTTCAGGAGCCCGCCAGCTATTTTGATGAGCTGAAAAAGATCCGCAACGGTTTCTATCGCCTCAGGTAGTTCCGCAGCGCCGATAATGTCCGAGAGTCCAGTGAAAGCGGCAATGAGCAACGTGGCGTCGAATAGGAGATCAATAATAACCCATTCGGGACTGAGGGATGCTATGACTTGGATATCCTGACCAGAAGCGTTGGCCATGTAGACGGATCCAGCGTTACCCATGGCTCCTGCCGGTTGTGGTGAGTCACCATTCTAACGACATCCTCAGTTGTGCTCGGCTCACTGGAGGTGATTTTGCAAGAGGAACTCGAACCCAGGTGTAGGCGCAAGGGATCGGCTCACTATATATACCAGCTAGTTGAAATAGTCAGCTGTGCCGCATGGATTAGGTCATGCAGCTAGCCTTTGTGTCTGCAGCATTTCCCAGCTATTCGTACAAGGGAACTGGTGGTTGCGATAAGCTAATCGGCGGTTCCTAGTCGCAGGCCGATGCAAAAGCATTCGCAAACACGCGTTTGGACGCTGCCCTCCGCCTCGTAGTTCATGATCTAGGGACCGCCACTGTTTGCTAAGGCAATAATGGCGCACTGATCGAAGGCTGATATTATTTCGATAACCGTAGAATACCGCGCAGACTTCACATATTCATTTTGCGCCAGTGCCTTGTCGCGCACCATTCATTCAGCAGATCCTAATCTAGCCTTGTCCTTTGTTAACGTGGGGGGGGCAATCTGGCATCGATCTATTGTATCGAGTTGGCAGTGCGAATGTGCTGCCATCCTAGATGGTTTTTTTGATGCGTTCTAGAGTTGAGGGGCATGGGCTTCATGCCAGCAGGCTAGACTCTATTCTCCAAACTGACTAGTAGTTCGTAATTCAGGAACCACCGTTGATTGCTGCAGCAATAATGACGTTGCGCTGATCGAAGGCCGGTTTGGTTTTGATAACCGTAGAATACCGTGCAGACCTCACATACTCATTTTGCGCCGGTGTCTGGTCGCGCACCATTTACTCAGCATATCCTGATTCAGTCCTGTCTTTCATTGGGATTACTGCCTGTGCGAACGATCGATCTGTCCGATCGAGTTGGGGGCGCAAATGGGCAGTGCACACTATCTGGTTTTTGAATCTGTTCTGGATTCGAGGGGTGTGGACTTAATGCCAGCAGCCTAGGCTACATTCTCCAAGCGGGAACGCGGAGATCGATTTAGAAATGTGCTGCGTAAACACCGATGATGAGCTGACTCCGTGGTATGGTGTCCAGCCAGCCCAGTTCCAAGCCAACGTGTCGATCGCCCCAGTGAGATGTGGAGATGATTCCACAAAATAACTGGAGGCAAACCGAAGAGTCGGGCTCCCCGAAATACTATGTGGCATAGGGACCCAGGGCCTCGACGCACCTCAACCCCGAGTCTTCGAGTTCTTGACCGCGTCGTCTCTCGGCCACCCAAAAGTACCCACAACGCTTTCATATATGTCCTATTGCACATCATGTGGTTGTTGAACACCTTCCTAAACTTTAACCTGAGATTGACACAGAGAAAGAAAGCTCATTATATTACCGATAGGTCCACAGTAGAGTAGGAGTTACAGTAAATATGGGAAATTTCACCCGTATTTGCCTCAGATCTCGCAGATCATCCGATCCGCTAGGAGCCCTAGTAAACACTATATACAGGAACGGAAATGTACTTGTAAAGATAGTTCACAAAGATTTCAAACACCTCGGAAGAATCATCCAGAATGACAAGTTGTGATGAAGAACACTTATTTTCCCCCAAATCAGAGAATGCAGCACTGCGGACCTTGAAGCGGCAAAGTTTGCGTTCACAGTTAGACAAAGCAGTCGAGTATTGAATGCGCACCATAATTTAAACATCCTTCCTTGCACGGAGAAATCCACATATCCCGTCGGTAGACACGTGGAGAGGGACTCCTCATACAGTTTCAACCTCCGTGCCATCCCAACCACTCATAATCAGTGCTGGTTTGTGAATGATGGGAACCTCATTTATGCTATTATTATGTATAATCAGTAAATTATGCCATGTAGCTAGATATTGAAGAACCATACCTGTGCTTGAGAAATTCCATCGCTTGCTGAACAACTGCATTGGCCTCATCAATAGGCCTAGTCTGACGCATTATTTCTGCATTTCTGAAACATTCTAGTGCCTCATGAGCAAATCCGATAGCCCGACCCCATTTATCCAGACTTGGTCGAGGCCTCCCTTCTTCGGCACCCTTCTTTGCAGAGCGGGTGTGCCATGCCTCCAAGCTCAAGGTATAAGCATTCAACATCAGGTCAAATATGGTCTCGCATATTGGGCGAAGGGCATTGACAAATTGACGAGGTGTCGCGGTCCGTGTGAAGTTGGGGAGCTGCATACCAGTTCGAGGAACCGAGCTATCGCGTCCTTGACGGAATGTGGGAGGTTCGGTGCTCCCATCGAACTGGAAGAATTCAAATACATCTCCATCGCACAGGATACCATGCACAGCAACGCGGAAGCCCTGTCGCGCATTGTTCCAGTCACCAGCTGGGTATCAACATGTAATTGGCCTCCGAAAAATTAGGCACCAAAAGGGCAACTGACCGTCGCACTCTGCGATTAGTTGGGCAATTGCGTCTAAGCGCTCCTTTGCACTGCCAGTTTTGAGTTTGAATTCGATGAAAAGAAGCGAAATAGAGCCGAAGGCCTTGAAGAAATACTCCACACCCCCGGTGGCGATGCGACCTTCAAGAAGTGATTCGGGCAGATTCCTGAAAGCAAACTCGAATACAGCAACAAGACGATTAAAGATCTAAAGCAGATTCCGACTTAGTGCCATGTGAGGAGCTGACTCGCACTTACTGGCGACAGGAACCGGGATCTCGCCTCTCCCGTTTCATGCATAATTGGAGGCCCATAGTGGGTCTGCATAATATCCATATCCTCCAGAATGGATTTAAAAAGAGTCGTGGGAATGCGAGAACGATGCAGCGTGAAATTGTCGATATCTGCCATCTGGAGACTGGCTTCAAGTCCGACGAACGACGCGATGGCTTCGTACTTGACATTGGAAAAATTAGCGTCTGTCCGATCCTCTTAAAGAAAATTCGATCCTGTCAATCACCAAAGATCACAAGACAATGGACGGACCAGACAAGATCTCTCGCAACATGCTCAAATCGAAATCGTGTTGGTGCATTATGTGAAGAAGAGCAATTTCGGCGGAATCATGACTGGTGATAGCAGACGACAGTAATGCTCTCAAACTATCGGCTGACTGAACTACTGATTTGCCATCTTCACACTTTCGCTTCGTCGCCATTGGTCGGGTATGTAGTTCCTAACCGAGGGGGGTTAGCGGAGTTGGCCGAATATATTGTGTCTAAGTTATCGATTCCGACCGAGGTCAGTCTGCCTTACAGTTTACGCTTTCACGACCCACTACAGATAGCCGGAATAATATTGACATTGCACAAGAAAATTTTTAATGAATTTGTACATAACATACAAATTTCAATAGAAAAGGGAACAAGAAACACCATTTGACACATGGTGGGAGTGCCAAAAAGTTCACGTGTACTTAAATCCGATCTCCACCCTACTAGGCACTGCTACCTGTAACCAAACTCACTGAGAGGGTCCATAAGGAGAAAGCCGAACAGTTCGTCGACTCGAGTCTAAAGTAATGGGAGGTTGCTGGTTCAAGGTCACTATTGCCCGAAGGAGCAATCTTCGGAGCGCCTCGTGTAGATTGGTGGAGCGCGGTGGTTCGATTAGGTATTCATATTCTGGACCGACCTGCAAGGCAATGTTATGAAGCAGTTCACCAAGAACTGGCCCTAATTCTGGATGAAGCGCTCTTTTCCACCAATCCAAAGGCAAGAAGAATAAAAGTGTCGACATGTCGACATCACGGTACCTCCTTGAATTGAGTGTCTGCTCAAACCTGGCTAATTCCATTAATGGAGAATCATCACTCCCTTCAGGCTTTGCATGGAGCAGAGTGTCGACAATGACCCAAACGAGAGACTCGATATCGTGTCGTGGGCGATATAATGGTGGATTTTGCAGCGAACCGAATTCGTGAATGTTGTTGTTATCATAATCCTCCTGACCGGCCTCATATGCGCCAACGCCAAACAGCATATTGTACGTGTGGAGCACCTCACCTTGAAGCTCGGGCATGGGCCGGAATCTCTGAGGTGAAGGGGCCCAAGACCTTGACAAAATTGCTCGGGGGAATACAGTGGGGTTCCCTAGATCCATTGTCATTGAAGAAATACCGACACACTGACATCACGCACACTGAACTGTCTCAGAATCTCTGCTGCTTGATTGTCATCAGGCCAGTAGCTAGCGGCCATGTGCAGATCACCAACCAGACCCCTAGGCTGATTCCTGAGGCAATTACGGGATTTGAATATCTGCTCACTATTTGGTCAAAGGCGCTCACCTGTTGTCGGGGTCAAGATATTTGTTTATGAAGGTTGGTTGGTTGTCCGAAGGATTCAGCATGTTCTCAGCAAAACCAGCTGGGTTCTGGGGCGTTACGCTCTTTACATATATATATATGTTTGAGGGGCTGATGTGACGGTGGACAACTTCATGGCGTTCAACAATATAACGTAACTCTAACGAAATCAATTTCAGCATCATGATAATCAGATGTTTCGTACCTTCCACAATATCGAAGAATCCTGCAAGTAGATCCAAGACAGTCCTCCCTTGTGAGATTGACACACCAGTGTCCAGGTAGATCATTGCAGAACTTCTTCGGGAGGCCACTTGTCCATGCATTTTATCGGCATTCCATTGGTTCAGTTCGTCCAAGTCCCAGATGCCAACGTCGATAGTAATGGGTTCCCCATCGAACTCAACGCCTCGAACAACGCCTGCGACATAGCCATCCTTGTGGATACGGTCGAGTATCTCCATTCCATGGTGAACCGGATCTCCTCCATCCAGTCGACCCATAACCTGTTTGTAAATTATGGGGGCTCCTTGGGCTACGGGAGGGCCCACTTGCGCATACACATGCGTGCAGCGAGTGTGAGGAATTCCCGGAAATATGCAGCGATAGAGTCCTTCTAAGACGGCGTTATCTGATAACAAGAAAAAGCCAGCACGAGTAGCATCAGGAGATGACGTGATGTGCGACGGGGGTGCATTATAGAGGGACGCGGCGTATTTTTTGAGGGCTTGGGACTCCGAGTACAACTGTCCCGGTGATCGGTAAGCAGCAACTGGGCCGCTCCAGATGACAAAATAATGTGTTTTCCCAGCGTAAAGCCTGTATACACATGGCTTGTCCAATCGAACGTGGTGTATACTAGTGGCATAGAGAGCCGCTTGCTTCAAACCTTTTTCTTCAGCCATACCTTCAGAAACAACTTCGATGCAGGTCTCTACTTGTGAAGGAGAAGTAGGCAATAGTCATCGAATATGGAGTGTTCCAAGGATGTCTGGTCTCTCCGAGACAGTTAATTCCAGTTTAATATCCTATTCCACGGGACTAATCGGGGCCGGGCACGTGCGACCTGGAGCAGTCTCGTTCTGCACTGCCGCAGTGCTGATGGATCGTGATGGGTGACCAACTGCCCGGGTCCTAACTTGCCTCTAGCATGGCTGAGGTTAAGTTGCTGAGGAAGGGGGAGGTTTGCTCCTTTCCCCCACCTGCTCGCTTGCTTTCGCGCTTGTGCTCGGAGTTACTGGTATGTTTCCCCCAGCGCAGCAGGGCTTGTAACTCACGCTCGCTTGCCAGTACCCCCTCTGGTTATTGCGTAGTTATTGCTTTTCCGCTTCCTTCTTACTGTTCTCTGTAAGCATATCTTTCTCCCTTGTTTTCTTTATCGTGATTGCTTGCTGTCAGCTCTTGTTCCAACCTCGCTTGCGCTGCTCTCTCTTCTGCCTACCCTCCACCTTCCCCAACTCCACCTTTGTGACTGGTGCTATTATCTCGTTATCATCTTATTCGCCCTTGGCCGTTGTATTTCTTTTCTTGCAATCCCATTTTGCGCTGGCCCACGTTGCATCGTGGGCCGTCTCCACTAAGTTGGTCGGAACCGATTAGTCATTCCCACAGCTAATAATAGCTTAGCTGTACAACTTATTATGTATGCCAGTCGCAACGAAGTTGCGGATAAAGTTCGGAAAATTACCAGGGTTGAGTTTCAAGTTCAACCCATTGAATTGAACTGAATTGGCCTCGGCGTTGCGGAACGGGAGGAACCCATTCTCCGACAACCAGGGACAACCAGGCTCGTTCTCGTTCCAGAACGTGAAGACTTGACAGTGGAGTAGAATTTGGTTATTGCTTGCACAAAAGGGGGCAGGATTGGACTTATCTCTTGCTTATCTCCTTAGTATTTACTTTTCACTTTATCCCCGTGTATTTATCCCCCTGCCCTTGGCGCTTTCTAAAGTCTGCAGGTACGTTAAACATCCAACAACTGGAAGGTGGATTATTCCAGTGATGATCGCCCGCCACCAACGTAAAACGTGAACTTGGTCCCAAGGCACAACGAGGCTGAGCCAAAGGCTGTGTTGGGAATTTGAAATAATAAAGTCCCGAACACGCGCAGCGTTATAAGATGGCTCGATCTCCGTTTCTTCTTCCTTGAGTACTGCAATGGTTGCTCCACTGGTTCTGATCTTTCTTCTGGCAAAGTTAAGCTGGACGGTGCATGCTCAGTCGGTACGTTAACGAAGAAGTTTGCCTCCGCGCTTGTCAATCCCGTCGTCCGTTCGGTGACATGCTTCTTCTGTATAGACATCTGCGCGCTGTAACGTGTCAAACTTTCAATGGGTCCGACAACTTACTTGGAAAGCGTAGAAGACGAGCTGATGTGATTTTTGCTAGTCCTTCAATTCTCTTGCCCAAAGTCCTTGCCTGGTAGGTGCCAAACCAGAGATTGGCAAAAATGGCGCCTCTCTTATCTTCAACTCAGGTCGCAGCCTATCTTCAGAACACTTGTTCTCCTGGTGAGCTCTAACTTGAGACTGCGTGTTGCTTTCTTCATATGCCGCTCTCTAGGTTTCAGCGTCCCTTCCCTTGACTCCCTGGGTGTTCGGTTCTATCGTGAGCCATTGGTTAACAGTAAATGTGAGTGCAACTTCTAACGTAGAGCAGCAAAGGTTTACTAACCAGTACGATACGGATTATAAGGTGGATGCTCGAGCGTCGTTTACTCCCTCATGGCTGCGTGTGCGGGTTGTCAAAATGGAACGTGGTCTAGGTGTGTCCCGTGAAGCACTAGCGCAACATCTGAACCCTGAAGCCTCTTTGTATGCAGTCTATGGATCTGGCAGAGTAATTGTGGGGAAGATACCGACCCAGTCACAACGTTCGTACTTCTGATTCACTGTCCCTGAACTTCATTGAACACTTTGCTTGCTCAAAATTAGATATAGCGAACCGATCCCTGGTGGTACCAGGGTCCCTGGATGGGCTTATCTGAATCCCAATGGTGGTATCCTCGGCATTAGGGCTGAACTCAGCATCAGGGCTGAAGGCAACGGTTCGTGTCTGCTTAGCGACATTCCTGTCTCGATGCATTCATGACAAAACATCAGGCTCTTCTACGACAACGACAACGACCTCCTCGAGCACTTCAACATCCTCGAGTAGTTCGAGCAGTTCGAGCAGTTCAAGCAGTTCGAGCAGTTCGAGCAGTTCGAGCAGTTCAAGCAGTTCAAGCAGTTCAAGCAGTTCGAGTAGTTCGAGCAGTTCGAGCACCTCGAGCACTTCAACCACGTCGACCACGTCGAGCACCTCAAGCACATCAAGTACTGTGAGTAACACTCCCCATCCCACCACCTCTACCCCTGCTTCCGGCACGACCACTCCCATTTCCACTCCCACCTCCACTTCCACCCCTACTTCCACTCCCACCTCCACATTCACGTCTACATCCACAACCTCGTCCGCTCCTGCTTCAACTCAGGTATCCACCCCAACTCAAACCGGATACGTACCTACTGACTTCTCGCTATCTTAGATAACGACTTCATCCTCTCCAACTTCGCAAGTATCTTCAACTTCTCAGCTAACACCCACAAGCTCACCAGTGTCAACTTCCTCAAGATCACTAACAAGATCCTCCTCTGGATCAATTGTGACTAGTTCGTCATCCGGCTCGATTCCTACCTCGACAACGACAACGACAACGACCTCACTCCCAGCTTCCGCGATTTCCTCGATTTCCTCGATATCCTCGATATCCACCGCGAGTGTTGCATCAGTGAATATTTACAGATCCAAGGGTGTTACGTCATATACCACAACTAATTCTGGTGGTGTTCCTACGGTCGTTGTTGCCCCAGCCGGAAACTCTGGAGGGGGTGGAACTA